TATCACAAGTGGAGATGACGTAAACAAATTAAACCCAAAAGACCATCAATCCATGCCCCATTAAAGAGCCATTGATACTACAAAAGATGATATGTTGTTGAATATATAGTTGCCGTCTAAGTATATATATTTTGTGTATATATAGTTATATAATTAATGACGTAAGGTAATGTATACTCTTTTTTGTTTTAAGAAAGATAATCCACACTAAATTTTGAGATTGTATGATAATATTAGTTCTTACACTATCGTAAGTTACATTACAAAATTAAGACAATTTCACAAATACGACATATGTCTAGCATGTAAAAATTAGGACAGGCTCATCAAGAAAATGAAAGTTTTGTCTTAAAATTAAAGAGCACTAATTAACAAATAGATTCCTCTTAAAGTATTATTATTATTATTATTTCATAATAATAATAATAATTATTATTATTATTGTTGTTGTTGTTGTTGTTGTTGTTATTGTTATTACTTGTGTTATAAAGTATTATTATCCACATCGAAAAGTTTAAAAAAAAAAATTGAACATTAAAATATAACATATAACTCGAATCATTTAAGTCATCATCAAATGATTTCGCGTTGCACATCAAAATTTTATCAACTTCAGCAAGTAATCAGCTCAACATGTTAATGGTAATTTTTGGATCCCGCAGTTCACAATGTATTATTAGTATACTGGTAAGTTTACTAACGCCTGACTCCTAACCACAATTTGAGTATAGAAAAAGAGGAGATTTGTAATCGATTGATCTTGTCTTTTTCTTTTTTTCATATTTGTCCGTCGGCAACAGTGACGACTAATTCCCTCATTGAATTGAGTACAGAAAAAAAGGAGATCCGTTATCGATTAATCTTGTCTTCTTCTTTTTCATATTTGCAAAGTGTCTACTTCGACAACAATGACCACAACTTGAGTACAGAGAAAGTGTTGGGAGTGGTTTGAAGGTGATCAGAAGATGGAGTTCCTGTGACACCGGACGCGGCCGAATTTGCCATAGCAGCAGGAACGTGAAAGGCAAACAAAGAAGATCAAACAAAGAAGGAATTTTTTATTTTTATTTTTTTTTGCTTTTTTTTTTCAAAGAAGGAAAAGAATCGGTAAACAAACAAGAACCCCAACAATAGTGAAGCAGCAAGCAGGAAAAGAAAATTTTTTTTCTACGTTTTTTTTTTTTTTTTGGGACCGGCGAGAAGCAGAAGCAGCAAATCGGCGAGAATTGAACAGAAGCAACAGAGGCCCAGGAGCAACACTTGATGGATACAGCAACTGGGAAAAAAAACGATGGATGCAACAGAGTGGTGAAGAAGACGTCTAAATTCAAAGAGACGTGAGTACGGTGATATTCAAAACTCTCGCGGCACTCCAACGGCGGACAAAACAGCGGCGACGGCAAGAAGAGACCAGTGCCGATGAGGGTAACAACAGGGATGAGCGGGGAATCAAGAAGAAAGGCAAACAGCCGCAGCAAAGACAGACCTTGTTGAAATCAATATCAAATAAGAAAGGCAAACCGAAGAGTTGGATCGATGACAACAAGAAGAAGAATTGGACGGCCGACGAGGAAGAGAAGCAACGGCGGAAAACCCTAAAATATTTGATGGCCCCAGTGAGAGGCTTGAGGTGGAACCCCATGGGCTTCTGTATGGTATCAGAGCCCACGATCTGTGGACCTATGATAACTATGGACCCGCGTGTGCGGACTTGGATCCGTGTGCGGACTTGGATCCGTGTGCCTTAGACTTGCGTCAATCGCTTCCGTACACACGGGTGGGCTTGTTACTGATCCGACAGTATATTCGGAGTATGTACCCATGTGTACGGGCTTGTTGACTGACCCAGCAGTATATCTGGTGAATTATGTTGTGTTGTGCAACCCCAATGGGCCAAATACCCCATTGGACTTGAGGGAGGGTGTTGGGACAAAAGAATCCCACATCGGTGTCGTGAAAGATCTGTCACCTATTTATAAATGTCAAGGCCACCCCACTCATAGCCAATTGGTTTTGAGATGGGAGCCCAAGGTAACTTTGACAGAAGGAGGAGATCCGTAATCGATTAATCTGTCTTTATCCCAAATAAACCAATAAAGGGATTTCACGGTTCCAAGCTCCAAAGCTCCAAAACAAAGCAAAAGGACAATAGAATCTGCACATAAATGAAAAAATCGTGATTCCTCGATATATTACTTAATTAATACCCAATGATCATTAGTTGACAACGTAAACTACAATTGGAGAAAAAAAAAATACTAGTATCAAGCGACGCAAATTAAGCTTTGACCTGGAGTCTAAGACGAGAAGATTAGACGCGAAATTTTGTGCGCATGCAGATGAAACAAAGACTAATTGGTAGTCCTATTAAATTGAGAGGAATCTCCCAAATTGAGTCGTTTCGATTGAATTACGTTGAACCAAAAAGATGCTTTCCACATGTACATCCTGTCTTGAAATAACAGTTCAAACTTCCAACGATTTTCCCAGAAATTTGTCGCGTTAGAGATAGTACTGCATTATGCTGTACTACTACTACCGGGATGATAATAAGACATAGATGAGTTTGGTACGTATGTATGTGCGAACTAACTTCTTTTTTTTTTGGGGGTGTTAGGGTTGATTTTCCAAAGTACGTGTTACTATATCCTCCTATATTAGAAACAAAAACCTCTCTTTCAAACACCTCATATGATCGCTACGCGTGGTATGTAGAAAATACTTGAATTGCCTTTTGTCTAACCATAACTAAATTACTAAATCTCCTTCGCACTTTACGTGACACGTTTTTTTTTAATTTTTCTTTATGTTTCATTCAACTAGAGTGGTTTTTTAAATTGAATTGATCAATTAGGTTTTTTGTTACAAAGTGTCAATTTTGTTTTAAGCGTATACCCTTTGGATGAAGCTTATTACAAAGCTATTAAAAATCTCCAAAACTAAGTATTGATTTGGCACGACCAATGGAGAACATCAATAAATCATCTTACTAATATTTAAATTTATTAGGATACTTTTATATTTTATCTAATATTTACTTCAACACATATATTCGATTAAGCTATTTATATTTAATAATTAACACTTATAAAACATTTCTAAACATACATGGCGAAATATAATTTATTTTTATTTTTTTTGCGAAATACAAATATTTCTATGATCACACTTATAAAACATTTCTAAATCCTTCAAACATTTCTAAAATATATCGCTCCAAATACAAAATTTTATTTTTTTCAAATATAAACATTTCTAAAATCTACAGATAGACTGGGCCAGGGTCGCGCATTGCGCGACCAGATATCACTAGTTGTTTATATATATGGATGTCCAAAGTCAAAATGATGGTGCTTTATTATAACTCCATTATTACATTTACTAGTGCAAATAGAAATCATTAATCTCGTGCTTTCACATTGTTCCATGATTTAAATTACATGATTCTAATTAAATTCTCGTAATTATGCGTCGCACTAGCAACTAAAAACAACAATACTGGTAGTATGATTTTTTCCAGTCAAATTTACGTTTGAAGGGTTAAATTAGGCCGATTCACTTGGTAAGAAGAAGCTTACTTTTTCAGAGAACTTGAGTTTGTAAGTCTCTCCCTCCGCTCATGAACCCATCATGCAAGATTTTGCTTAGAGTATATATTGAAGTAGATTCTTGTTACGAATACAGTAAAAAAAAAATGGAAAGGGTTTCAGAATAAGATAACCAATAATAAATAAATTCTTATCGACTGAACAATTAGTAAAACATCTAGGAAAAGAAAATTGAGAAACTTGACACGAAAACATGTGGCGAAAAATGGGAAACTTCCTGCACGAAACCAACCACCGTTTTTTTTTTTTTGTATACGTTCAACGTATATGTGTTACTTTCCTCATACAAATTGTAGCTTTCTCCATTGTTGCTACGTCAATGAATATCCCATCGATACTGCAACACATTCAAACACATCAAAATCTAGCTCGAGTTAATTACTGGATTGAAACGCTTAATTCTCTCCATTTCTCATTTCTTCTAGGCTTGCTTCAAGACGGAAGTAAAATAATAATAATAATAATAATTACAGTACATTTCACTCGTCTTAAAATAAGAGTTAAATTTTTTACTCTCTCTGTCCCAAAATTATTGTTCAGTTTGAAATTTCACTTTTAGTATGAACTAGAAATGAAAATTCAAACTGGATAATAATTATGGGACGGAAGGAGTATATTATTAGAATTAATTTTTATTAGACGGCAGAGTAAGTAATCAGTTAGGAAGAATAGAAAGGAAGAAAATGTGAGATATGACGTGGTGCTCTCGTAGTCATTTTCTCTATTTTAAGTTCTCATAATTTATGAAGAGACACATTATTGTAAATTTGTTGTTGTTGTTGTTTGTTGTAGGAGAGACTGATAGAGAAAGGGCGAGTCCTTCCTATCTCACCAACCACACCTTTATCTGTTTTACACTTTATGATTGTTATTAATTACACTCTGGCCTTTATTTTCAATTTGACAAATTTAGTGTCCAAGATTTTGTATGGGATGACCCCGTCCTCAACGGTCCATTTTGAAGCAGAAAATCAAAGTATTATATCCACCAACTGTACGTGATTTGATACAGAGACTTACAAAGTATTTTTAAACCGTAAATACATATTATATTTTAATTAATTCTTATTTAAACTGAATTTAATGCGTAATTTTATTTCTAATATAGCCTGTCCAAAAAAAATTTTAATATATCAGTTTATTTTACGTGATACAACAACGAGTACGATATTTTTTTTTTCTTTCCTCTCATGTACACATACTAAGAAGTTGTACACAAAAATAGCCATGCAAGTGTACACGTGTCACAGATCTCAACCGTCAGTCACACTCTCATCCGACGGTTATGTATATATTTCAACTACCCAATGCCTGCCTCACCCAACTCTCCATGCCCCCCATTCCCCTCTATTTAAACAACCAAAAGTTGGCTCAACAAACTCAGGAAATTGAACTAAAGCAAAGCTTGCAATTTCCCTTTTCCCCTCAACAAATCATCCTACTTTGATCATAAAAAAAATCAATCAAACCCCCTCAATTCCTCCTCAACAACCACAACCATCGTCATTTTTTGCTGCCCCTAATTCAAATTATTTGTAGTCAAATTCGGACTCCGATTTTTTTTCAGTACTAATCATTTGTTGGTAGCAGAATAGATCCCTTCATATTATTTTTTTCCGTACTACATTTTTAGAATCCGTCGAGCAAAAATGGAATACGCCAACGGACATGTCAACGGCCACGTGGAGGATTTTTGCACGCAAAAGAACTCCGGCGTAGTGCATGACCCGTTACACTGGAACGTGGCGGCGGAATCGTTAAAGGGTAGTCACCTTGACGAAGTTAAGGGCATGATCGACGAGTTCAACAAGCCAGTGGTCCGGCTCGGCGGCGAGACGCTGACGATAGCCCAGGTAGCGGCGATAGCGGCTTCCAACGGCGAGGTTAAGGTGGAGCTGTCGGAGGGAGCCAGGGCCGGCGTGAAGGCCAGCAGCGATTGGGTGATGGACAGCATGGTTAAGGGTAAAGATAGTTACGGCGTCACCACCGGGTTCGGTGCGACGTCGCACCGGAGAACCAAAGAAGGCGGAGCTCTTCAGAAGGAACTTATTAGGTGAGTTAGTAAATAGTAGTAATAATATATATGAAGCTGATCATGTCTTAATTGTGATTTACCTTTTCTTTTTTTTTTTCCCCTTTTCTTTATGTTGTGTTGAAAAAGATTTTGCATAGGAAGTTAATTATTATGCTTAGATTTTCTTCCTTTTTTTTTTCTTGGTAAGCTTTAAATGTGACATAATTAACTTCCGTTTTCGTTGTGAAGTTTTCCTTCTTTTGATTACAATAATTCTTGTGCCGCAAAAAAAAAATAAAATAAAATAAAAAATTTAAGCCTTAAGCTACTTTTTCCGGTCCTACTGTAATTGTAAGTCACGCTCAATAACCAGTTTATTATGGTGCCTTTGAAAAACAGAAATCAAAATCATGAATTATGCAGTTGTTTTTAAGAATGGAAGTTTTATGAAAAAAGAATGAGTTTTAAGAAAAAAAAATTGGTTTTTTTTTTTTCTTTTTGGTACGATGAATGGAGGCGAGACTGCTTGTACACACTAAATTAAAAAGATCAAATTATGGGTAATATAGAACTAGCTGTAAAACTATTGGGGTTTTTTAATTTCCAGCAAACTCCTTGATGTCATGTCATTTTCACAAAAATGCAATCAGTATTTAGAAACAAATTAATATGCCATAATTTGTAGGAGTTATTATATCCTTTCTTTTTATATAGTAATTCTGCAACCAACATTATTTGTGGAAAAAAAAAATCTTATTTTCAAAATGTTTTTTTTTTTTGGCTAAAATGAAAAGCTTTTTGGAAACTGTTGCCACGAAATCCTACTTTTATTTTCTTTTCTTTTTCTTTTTGTCGCGAAATCTAATTTAATTATGCATGGAAGCGGGCTAATATAATACTGTTTACGTAGCCCGGTTATATGTACGACTAGAAGTTATGTTAAGAGACAAAACAAACGGAAATCTAATTTAATTTTGCTTTCATCAAATAATAATTCTATTTCAATTTATTTGGCTTGCTCTATCCCGATGGAGTGTTTGACACTTGAATGAATAATTTTTTTTTCTCATAAAAAATTAATTGAGTAGAATAGTTCGAGATATATATTAGAAAAAACAATTTAATATTTATTATTTGAAGATCACATACATACATTTCGGGCTATGTGGTGGAATCATTCTTTCATATCATTTTCATAAGAAAAAAAAATTACATCACATACTCATTCCGTCCCAAACTGAGAGAACCGTTATTTTGGGTAGAATAATCAATACAGTGTAATTATCTACTAAATCGAATAAGCTAATTAGATAAATAATTTAATTTTGTCTGCCTGCAACATTTGTTTGGAGCTGTGTTTTGAAGACGAATAGGTCAGTTAAGCATCAAGTTGCTTTGTCTTCATTCAGATATACAAATCCCTTTAAATTCTTATAGTATTAGATTAGATTCCGAATGGATTTTTATTAAAAAGATGACACTAAATGAACATTACATTACTTTGGTTAGCAATAAACTTCTCCTTGAATGGAATTCCTGTTTTATTAGAATATGTCAAAAAGTTTTTTTTTTATTATTAATTGAGAAACTCCCTGTTCTGATTCATTTTTGTTGTTTGCATCAGATTCTTGAATTCTGGGATTTTCGGAAACGGGACGGATTCAGGTCACACATTGCCTCATTCAGCCACAAGAGCCTCCATGCTCGTTAGGATAAACACTCTGCTTCAGGGATACTCTGGCATCAGGTTTGAGATTTTGGAAGCCATTACCAAGCTGCTTAACCACAACATCACCCCTTGTTTGCCCCTCCGTGGAACGATCACGGCTTCTGGCGATTTGGTCCCCTTGTCCTACATTGCCGGATTGGTAACAGGGCGACCTAATTCCAAGGCTGTTGGACCTGATGGACAGTTGATTGATGCTTCTGAGGCGTTCCGTCTGGCCGGAATCAGCTCCGGCTTTTTTGAGCTCCAGCCGAAAGAAGGGCTTGCGCTTGTTAATGGCACTGCTGTTGGTTCTGGCTTGGCTTCCATTGTTCTTTTCGAGGCCAACATCCTAGCTGTTCTTGCTGAAGTTTTATCAGGACTTTTTGCTGAAGTGATGCAGGGGAAACCAGAGTTTACCGACCATTTGACTCATAAGTTGAAGCATCATCCTGGCCAAATTGAGGCTGCTGCAATTATGGAACACATTCTGGATGGAAGCTCTTTCGTGAAAGAAGCCCAAAAGATTCATGAAATGGACCCCTTACAGAAGCCTAAACAAGATCGTTATGCTCTCAGGACATCGCCTCAGTGGCTTGGTCCATTGATCGAAGTCATCAGGGCGTCGACGAAATCAATTGAAAGGGAGATCAATTCAGTGAATGATAATCCCCTGATTGATGTTTCCAGGAACAAGGCCTTACACGGAGGCAACTTTCAAGGTACACCAATTGGAGTCTCAATGGATAACACTCGTCTCGCAATCGCCTCCATTGGGAAGCTTATGTTTGCTCAATTCTCTGAGCTGGTTAATGACTTCTACAACAATGGATTGCCTTCGAATCTATCCGGAGGCCGGAATCCAAGCCTGGATTACGGATTCAAAGGCGCTGAAATCGCGATGGCGGCGTATTGTTCCGAGCTTCAGTTCCTGGCCAATCCAGTCACAAACCATGTCCAGAGTGCTGAGCAACATAATCAGGATGTTAATTCGTTAGGATTGATCTCGTCGAGGAAAACAGCCGAGGCCGTGGACATCTTGAAGCTCATGTCTACAACTTTTTTGGTTGGATTGTGCCAGGCAATTGATCTCAGGCACCTTGAGGAGAACCTGAAGGCCACAGTGAAGAACACAGTGAGTTCAGTGGCCAAGAAAGTCCTGACAATGGGGTACCAAGGCGAATTGCACCCGTCGCGCTTCTGCGAGAAAGATCTGCTCAAAGTGGTGGACAGAGAGCATGTGTTTGCCTACATTGATGATCCTTGCAGTGGAACCTACCCTCTGATGCAAAAGCTAAGACAAGTCCTGGTGGAGCACTCTTTGGCCAATGGCGAAAGGGAAAAAGTCGCAACCACATCAATCTTCCAAAAGATCAGTGCTTTTGAGGAAGAATTGAAGGCCATTTTGCCTAAGGAAGTGGAGAATGCGAGGTGTGAATTGGAGAATGGAAAGTCCGGCATAGCAAACCGCATCAAGGATTGCAGGTCCTACCCATTATACAAGTTTGTGAGGGGAGAATTGGGGGCCAGTTTCCTAACTGGTGAGAAAGTTACCTCTCCTGGAGAGGAGTTTGACAAGGTATTCACTGCCATTTGTGAAGGGAAATTGATTGCTCCATTGATGGATTGCTTGAAAGAGTGGAATGGTGCTCCTCTTCCAATATCCTGAGAAAATGTGATCATTGTTTTTGTGCAGAATGCATTTACATTTAGTACACTGGAAAAAGGAAAAGTAAATTTGCGTCATTTTCTCTCAAAAATATCTTCCTCCTTTTTAAACTTTTTTTTTAAAAAAAAAATTTCTTTTAATTAGAGATGTATTGACCTACTAGTTTCATCCTTTGTATTTTTATATTTCATTAATCCGTTACCAAATCATGAAACTCAACAATTGTATTATGCGAATAGTATTCTTCAACATGAACGTGATAAATTAAATTCAAGAATTTTTGAATACTAGTTCCTTCAATATTCTTTCCACTAAAATGTCAGTGTGTAATTAGATGTAGAAAGAGTAAAAATTAAGCTCACCTTTTCAGCTTTTCCTTTTCTTGCACATCTTACCTGACAGCAACATCAATAGAGATAGTGAACTCATTTAATAAAATGATTCGGCCATTGATGTACATCTCTTTTTTTCTTTTTCCTTATTTTAAAGTTTTATTTTGTTGTACTAACAAATTATATTTGTTTGAAACTATCGTGCAATATGTAGCACCTTTCAAAACAGTGGGTTGGAGCCCAGTAGTTTGAATGTTTAATTGATGACTGGGTCATGTTTGGATTACACCTAACTTTTATGAGTTTGGTGGGAAAAGATGAGGCCAGATTTTGGGAGAGCCAGCCCACCAATAAAATGGTCTATGAGGAGTAGGTGAAGAATATGGCAAACATACCCTTTTCTTTTTTTTTTTCGAAAACGGGCAAACATCTCCTTAAGTAGAGTAATGACTAATGACGGAATATTGGCAGTGACATTATGCCCTTATTTTCTTCAATTCTAGGTAGCATTATGCAAAAAGTAAGACGTGAAATAGTAGAATGCGCCCATGAATTGGCGAAGGCAACCCTATCGTCGGCCTATCCGACGTAAAATATCGGCCTTGGTTGACATTTTACATTTTAACTCAGTTTACCTTTTAAATACTAAACCCAAAAGAAAAGAAAACACCATCCAAACAACTTTCTGATTTATATTTTAAATTCCAACTTGAAACACTTTTTGTTAGTGTAATGACCATTTTAGAACTACAAATAGTTCAGTGACAAATTTGGTAGGATTCCGTTGTTGAGTGATTGTTTTTGGAAAAGTTCTTTTTTGTAGTGACTATAATTGACAGTATTTAATTGTTTAGTAATGACTTGTACTTGATAATTCAAAATGTAGTTCAAAATATTTTTTTTCAAAACCAACATCCAAACAACGTTTTTATTTCTCATTTAGTTTTCAATTTGAAACACTTTCCACTTTTAAGTGACAAAATGAAATATAAGTAGACGTCCAAACAAGCATCTAGTTGTTTTCTTAATCAATATATGAATCGTTTCTTAAAAGAAAAAAAGGGACTAATGACAATATCCTTTAGCAGAATATTATAACTTATATTTCTGACATTTTTCATTTAACTAAAACAGAAAAGACCAAAGAAATAAAGTTATTTGTGCATTAGCGCGGGATTTAGCCTCTTTTTTTTTTTTTTTTACAAAGAGGGATAGCCTTGTTCTCTTATAAATAAAACGCTTTAAAATGTAATATTACGAATTCTCAACCGATAGTCTTATTATTAGACACCATCTATTATTCTTTGCGAAATCACCAACCATTTTTTTTCCGAACTATTAATAGAATGGAAGTCAAATGATTAAGAGACTTCAAGGACCACCGAAAACTTGTCTCATCCATAATGATCATGAAATTATACCCTCAAACTTCCCCCACAGAATGCTCCCAACTCCTAAACCATTTCTACAATTCATTCACAACCCCAACATATAAATATCAGAAGCAATGAAATTAAACTCAAAACATCACAATACGCTATATATTCATCAGCCACAGAGAATACTTCAGCACAAAAAGAAAGGAACAATAACAAAAAAAAATGGGTCCAGGCAAGAAACTGAGTGTGACAGCCCAAATGGTGTGTGCAATATTGGTCCTAACGATGCTGCCGGGAAACATGATCGTCGGAGTCGGAGCGTTATCGGATTGTGCAAAAGAATGCATGCCCACCTGCATGCAGGTGAACGGCGCCACCATCAACACCTGTTCCACCGCCTGCGAGCAATATTGTGACCAGACTAAGGGAAATAATCATCCCGGCGGACCTCTGATATAGGTCTTTAAAGATCATTATTTATGAGCCCGATTTAATAATAATTAATGATCAGGAGATAGAGAACAAAACTAATCTGAAGTGCTATTTTCAAGTCGAAAAAAGATAAATTTTATTTTAGGATTTTCCTTGTAAAAAAGGCTATATACGGAGGGCCATGGAAGCCACATATTTGCCTAAGGTTGTCATTTGTTAGTTTTTTTATAATAATAGTTATATATCGAGAGTTCTGATTGTTATATCTTATAAATAAGGTTTACAAGAGTATTATTTTTCTTCCAACTCATAAGAGGGCTGTCTTGATTCCCAGGCACTCTATTATTTCTGTTTTATGCATTTTCTACTACAATTTGTGTATGCCACAAAATGTATAATGTAATGCCATTAGATTCGAGTAGTTAAGCGTTGAAAACAACACGAAGAACATTGAGAGGGGAAGGTTCAAATGTTTCTTTGATTCCCCTTTTTTTCTGTGGTGAAAATAAAATATTTCTTTAGTGATTGTTATTATTCCAAATTCCAGAGTGACAAAAGATATTCTAAACTTATTGGTACGGGTTACATCACTGACTCATTCAAGTTCATTTATCATTTTATTAGAATATCAGTATTAATGATAAATATACGTCTTAATATTTTTTTAATTAGTCTCATTTAAATTACAAAAGTATCGCAGGATATTCGATTCGATTTAGAATAAAAAGAATATTAATTATTCCATTCAATTTAAAGTCATTGCCGATAGTATCTTAGATCTTTTATCCATCATTAAGGATTTTATCCCATCAGCCATCAAAGTTAAAACAAAGGACAACTTGATTTGGAGCATCAGCTAGATTGATAATTGAAGGTACAACCGTAACTACATAGTCCTAAGTTGCATAACTTTGCACATTTTTATCACTGCGATAATATACATCACACGTTCTTTTGTGCCATGATATTTTTTGTTATGTTTTCTTTTGATTAAAACATTATTAAAAAATTGGAATATTTGATATTAAAGAACGAATAAATATGATATTTTGGTGGTTGTATGTAAGTAGCTGTAGGGATCCATTTCATAATCTAATTTTAATTTTATTCTAAATATGTAAGATTTTGATTGTAACTCCATTTTATTACACTCTTTTATGTCTTAATTAAATTCATATTTGCGTGTAGTTTATATAGTCTCAATCCAATCTTATATTGTCTGAATGATTTTTTTTTCTGTCCGAATAAGTAAAATATCGAGTATTATCTGGATAATTATTTTGAGACGCGAAGCATACATTTGATGTGACTGATTTTTTTTTTATTCAACTTTTTTATTTTTTTACATACTCCTATTTCACAAAATTACAAAAAGCATGAGCTGGCATCCCAAATGTTTCCGTTTTGGCCACATAGGATGTGAAATGGCGGCAACCACGACGGTTATAGAGAGAGAGCTCCACACAACCCAATTTCTCCCATTTCCGGAAGTTGGCTTTGGCCCACTCTACGCCTAGCACGGTGGGGTCCACGCCCCGACCTTATCGTACGCCCCTCTATCAAATTGTTTATTGCAAATTTTCAGTGATACACTGTACACACCCTGGCGCACGCTAACCTTTTCACGCTAAGAAACACTACCTTACGCACCTCCCAAAATATTCCTAATTTTTTTTGCTCCCTGCTCAAAAACCTAATCACCCAAAATTTTGATCCCATTTCCATCTCACTCCCGCGGGAAGAACCTAATAAAATTTCCCATGACGAAATTGGCGTTCCAGGTTCTTTATTATTCTTACTGATATCATTTCATTTCGGATTTTTTTTCTGATTTTGCATTGGGTTTGTTTTCCTTAGCTCCATTTGCTAGCAATTTAGTGAAAGTTCCAATGGCGCCAATGTTATCCCATTAGTGCGTGATTCATTCGTTCTAGGGTTTTTGTATGTTGAATGGGAATGTGTGATTCTGTGATTTAACTGTACAAGGAGTTCAACTACAACATTCTGAAGTAGTTTTGGCTGAGGTTTTGATGTGTTCAAAGGGTTGGTTTATGGTTTTGAATCTGGGTTTGTAATGAGGGATGTGGAAGTACCCAGATGGCTCGAGGGCTTGCCTTTGGCACCCGAGTTCAGGCCAACTGATACCGAGTTTGCAGACCCGATTGCTTATATCTCAAAAATTGAGAGAGAAGCTAGTGCTTTTGGTATCTGTAAAGTGATTCCACCGTTGCCCAAGCCGTCGAAGAAATATGTACTTCATAACTTGAATAAGACACTTTCCAAGTGTCCTGAATTGGTTTCTGATGTAGATTTGAGGAAAATACATGATTCTGTCGAGGGAAATAATGGTTCAGAGGTCAGGGCAGTTTTTACAACCCGGCATCAAGAATTGGGGCAGAGTGGAAAGAGGGCAAAGGGTTCAGTTGGGAGTCAGTCGACAGGAGGGTCGAGGCAAGTATGGCAAAGCGGGGAGGTTTATACGTTGGAGCAGTTTGAAGCAAAATCAAAGACTTTTGCAAAGAGTCAGTTGGGTGCGGTGAAGGAGGTCTCTCCATTAGTTGTTGAGACAATGTTTTGGAAAGCTGCTTATGAGAAGCCTATATATATAGAGTATGCAAATGACGTCCCTGGGTCTGGATTCGGAGAACCAGAGGGTCCCTTGGGATATTTTAATAGACAAAGAAGGCGCAGGCGGAAGAGGGGGACATTTGATAGAAATAACCAGGGAATCTCTTGTAGCCAGAATAACCTTGTGGATAACAGTAGCAGTGTTGTGAATAATAATATTGCTGATAAGGATGCTGATGTAAATAAGCAATCTGATATAGCTACTTCTACATCTTCAATGTCATCAGATCAGCGTGAAATCCTTTCTGAAAGAAAATCTTCAAGTGCTAGAAATGAGTTGCATGGAACAGCTGGTTGGCAGCTTGCTAATAGTTCATGGAACTTGCAAGTAATAGCGAGATCGCCTGGGTCACTAACACGTTACATGCCAGATGATATACCTGGTGTTACTTCACCAATGGTTTATATTGGGATGTTGTTCAGCTGGTTTGCTTGGCATGTTGAAGATCATGAACTTCACAGTTTAAATTTCCTTCATATGGGCTCTCCAAAGACATGGTACTCAGTGCCTGGAGATTTTGCATCCTCTTTTGAAGAGGTAATTCGCGTTCATGCTTATGGCGGAAGTACCAGTCATGTAGGTATGTGCGTGTTTGCAATTTTACATTTTTCTAATAGCAGCTAAGTGTTGTTGAATGCTGTTAACAAAACATTATGACGTGCAGAGAGAATTATTGCTATTCTATGCACTTTGCTACTGTGTTAAGTAATTTTTTTTTTTTTGGGAGATCATTACATGGTTAAGAATTTTGTGTCTGTAGGCTTTGAACCTTCTTGTAATTGAAAGTTGTTTGCTGGATATGCAAATCCAAGTTTGTCTTTGCAGAGTGTCGGACATGTGCTCCTTTTGCTGCTACCTTGAGTTTAATATTACTACCGCATACTCTGTTGCACCATCTCTATCTGCAACTTATTCAATTGTTTTCAAAATGTCAGATGCCCTGAGTATTCTTGGTGAAAAGACTACTCTTGTATCACCTGAACTAATTGTTGCTTCAGGCATCCCATGTTGTAGGTGAGTATTGTTTCTAAATCACCTCATTTCTGTTCTTTCTCATTCCTTTTATTTTGAGTATTTACTAATGGGTAGCCCCATTCTCTTTGCTAGGTTAGTCCAGAATCCTGGTGAATTTGTCGTGACATTTCCAAGGGCATACCATGTGGGATTCAGCCACGGTATGATCTCTTTGTAGATCTTATTTATTTGAGTTTGAATTCAGATCATGTATCTTATGCTGGACACTTGGAATCTGATCTCCTACTTTTAACTGTAATTGAAGACCTCTATGTAAGTTGTGATCTAAGTTTCTTTACGGTGGACTCCTTGAGACGAATCAACTTATGAAACTCAGCTTATCAGATGTAGAATGTGGAGAAAGCCTTTTGTATAGGTTCTGTTACTTCCTAACAATCGTTCTAAGTGGTCTTTTATTTGTATCTTCTGTTCTAGGTTTTAATTGTGGAGAAGCTGCAAACTTCAGCACTCCTAAATGGCTCACGGTTGCCAAAGAAGCTGCAGTACGTAGAGCTGCTATGAATTACCTGCCCATGCTTTCCCATCAGCAGCTATTATATCTTTTGACAATGTCATTTGTGTCAAGGTCGTACTTTATTTCTAGCGAATCTGTATGTAAATTTTTTACTAATAAAAATAATACTTTCGGCTTCCTATTTAGTGCATTTTCAGCTTTCTCTATTGGTTACATTTTTGTGCCCTTTCCATGAAACTTGATATCGTTCACACCCATGGACAAAGAGGTGGCTCTTATGGCTGGTACCCCAACACCCACATTTTTAGTTTTTTCCTCAGTTGAGTTGGAAAAAGTATTAATTGAGCAAGATGGCCTTCATTTGGCTCTTTAGTTCCTGGCTTCTCAGCTTCACTTGCTTCTGTCCCTTTTTCTTCATGACTTTTTAGGTTGCAGATAGATTACTAACTGATGTTTATCGAGTCTGATATTGTTATTTTGTGGATAACAGAGTTCCAAGATCCCTACTTCCAGGAGCCAGAAGCTCTCGTCTTAGAGATCGGCTGAAGGAAGAACGAGAGCTTGCAGTGAAGAAAGCTTTTGTAGAAGATCTCCTGAAGGAAAACCGTCTCTTGACCACACTTCAGAAGAATACTTCTTGTCGTGTGGTATTATGGGATCTTGATCTGCTGACACCCTTGAACAAAGATTCTGAGTTATGTAGTCAAAGTGATATTGTCCAAGCAACAACAGAAGAAAACAGTTCCCCACACAAGTGCAAAATAGAAGATCTCTATACACAAATGAGCCTGTGTATGGAAATTGGTACTGACTTTTATGCTGATGGTGCTGATTACGTACAAAATGATTATCAAGTTGATTCTGGGACATTACCCTGCGTAGCCTGTGGCATTCTTGGTTTTCCTTTTATGGCAGTTGTACAACCATCTGCTCGAGCGTCTAGAGATCTGTTGCCTGAGACCCAGGGCTTGGTTACACATTTTGGAAGTTCTCAACCTGTGCAATCTGAAGCAAGGGTCCAGAGCATTGGATCTGAGAGATCTGCTTTAGGTATGGTTTCATAATAAAGTCAATATGACAAGTATGATAGTGGAGGAAAAATGAAGAAAAATAACAGTAGAAGTGATAAACTAGCATATGATCATGGAACTGGACATAATGTTTGGGATATTTTGAGTGCATATATTAGCCTCTCCTCTCTAGTACTTATGCGTTCTTTTCCTACAGAACATGCAGCTCTTTCTTCTGCAATCACGCATGAAAGTAGTTGGAACCTTTCTGATGGATTTATGAGACCACAATTATTCTGCCTGGAACATGCAATTCAAACTGTCGAATTATTGTTCCCCAAAGGTGGGGTCAATGTTCTTGGCTTATGCCATTCAGGTAATTTTTAAGACTTGTAGTTTAATCTAATCATTCATGTTGAATTGTAGATGTGTGTGATGTACATTATCTCCCTGTCAACAGTAAGGCAATCCTTTTTCTTATCTCTTTCGCTTGCAAATACTGCTTGTCGATAAGTTAGTTTTCTTTTGATTCTGTAGATTTTCAGAAAATTAAAGCACACAGCGCAGTTGTTGCGGAGGAAATTGGTACCCCTTTTGCTTACAATGAGATTCAATTAGGAACTGCATTGCAGGAAGATCTGTATTTGATTGATCATGCAATTGACAATCACAATAAAGATGAATGTGTTAAAGATTGGTCGTCAGAATTGAATCTCAATATGCAGCATCTTGTAAATATGAGAAAGAAGTTCCCATCCCTGAAAGTGAAACATGCATTGACTTTAGATGGATTGCTTTCTGATGTGGTTAACTGTGTCAATGCATTCAAGTGGCAATCAAGGAAATTGCGATCAAAGAGAAGTTTGTATCCTTCTCTCCAAAAGAAGCCATCTGTGAGCATTCAGATTGAAAAAGTAGCTAAAGAAGTAGTTAAGATGGATGGTGAAATGGCTTCAAAATTAAGTCGAGTGACCATCCAATACTATCGAAAAAGATATAAGTCTAAGCCTTGTATCTCTGAAGTTAGTAAAGTGGATGCCGGTGGGAAGCGTTGTGAAAACCTTTTAGTTGCTCAAGATGGTGAATTTCATGATAAAATGCGCAGGGGAATGTCCAAGAGCGGAGCTGAAGATTCTTCTCCTGATGCAAGCCAGGATGTGAAATTACCGGACAGCCATTCTGGTGGTACCACAACAGAGAAACAGATCGAAACGAATAGAAATTGCAATCCAATAGTGCAGGACTTCGAACAATTACTGAACACTCATGTTCTGGAGAGAGCTGCTGATGAGAAAGACCCTGTTAAAGATGGAAGTACTGCTGGTTCACTTTCTGCTCATGCTAATGACAACGAAAATTCTGAGGTCTCGAAGGAGAAAAGTATTGTCTCTGGAATTGGCTTGGAAAACAGCATCTGTGATCCTGTAGAAACAGGCGAGGCTGGGAGGCAGTTTAATTTCCCAGCCGATGGAGATGTTTGTTCTGATAACTCTTCTGGGGAAAAGAGAAATGAAGATTCAGAGACAAGTGTTGTAGATATATGCAGCATGAGTGGTGAATTGGTAAATGACTCAACTGTCGATGGTGAAGTGCTGCAAGAAATCCAGGCAACAGACGGAGAATCCTCGAAAGTGATTTCTTCTGATAGTCGGTTGTCAAGCAAATGTACACATGCCTTGGCAGAAGAAGCTGAGATTCCTGGAGAGCTGCCTAATAGTAGCAGCCAGGCTTCAGCTTTATCTGGGATCAAAGAGTCGGATGATTTGGTTTCTACTGAAGCACAATTCCAACCTGCTGAGAGGAGCAAAAGAAAGAGACTAGAATTGCAAGTTGAAGATCCAAGTAGTTTGTTTGGCAGCTTCGTCAAAAGTCCTTGTGAAGGCTTAAGGAAAAGGAACAAAAGAGTGACTCCGGAATTGCAAGATGAAGATCCAAGTAATTTTGGCAGCTTCATCAAAAGTCCTTGTGAAGGCTTAAGGCCTAGGACCAAAACTGGTCCGTTGACCAATGTTATAGATAGTAAAAAGCCCCTCGTCGATAAAAAAGAAGTAAAGAAGGTGAAGCAGCATTCTGATGGCATAGTTCAGAGCAAGGGTCAAAAAGAGCAAAAGAAGGGTTCTCACAAATGTGAAGTAGAAGGCTGCCGAATGAGGTTCCAGACCAAGGCAGAGGCAGCCTTACACATGCGCAATCGCTGTCCAGTGAAAGGGTGCGGGAAGAAGTTCAGCTCCCACAAATATGCTGTGCTCCACGAGCGAGTTCACGATGATGACAGGCCACTGAAATGTCCATGGAAGGGATGCGCGATGACGTTTAAGTGGGCTTGGGCCAGGACTGAACATATAAGAGTACATACAGGGGAGCGACCATACAAGTGTGAAGTTGAAGGATGTGGCCTTACTTTTAGATTTGTATCAGACATCAGCAGGCATAGAAGGAAAACTGGCCATCATGTGAATTAACCAGGATACTTCAGTTTCTTTCTTTTTTTTCTCCCTGTTCTTTCATAAACTACCTAGAGTAGAAGTTAGAAAAATTCTCGAGTCAAAAAGTGGACCTCAAGAAGCCTCTAAAACCAGAAAAATCTGGTAGGTAGTTCAGTTTCACAGTAGGCTTGATACTTTTGTTGTTTGTACATTGTAGCTTAATGATTGCTTGTAGTAGCTGCAAATTCATTTGATTCTTCAAGAAAAAGGAAAATTAAGAAGTTCATATTGCTTTTTTTTTGCCCTTTTCTTTTTATTACATCTGACTAGATCATTTTGGATGCTGTGAAGTGTTAACACATGCATAACTATGTCCAGATTGTTCTGCCTACATTCAAATTGGAGAATTTCTAAAAATTCCTTCTATCTCAAAATAATTGTTATGTTTGTTATATTATATTTAAAGACAATAATTATGGGACGAGAAGCGAAATGGTTTAAGTTACACATTTGATAATTGAGAGTGAGACCAAAAACATATAACCCAATACAACTTTTCTATGGACTCAAACTTTGAATCCAACTGTTATAAATAGTTCACTCTCCTTAGTAAAACCCTCATTCCATCAACTTTACCCATTTCTCATTTACTCTGTCTAATCAGAAAACCCCAATCAACAGAGCTCAAAACAGTGAGTTAAAAATGGCAGCAGCGGCACCGCCACCGAACCCATCTCCGGCGGCAATACCGGAAACCATCGTGCCCGAAACAGCTCCACCCCGTCATCCACTCTTTGCCCGTATCCGATTAGCCACCATTTTCGATGTTCCCAACATCCACAAGCTTATCCACCAAATGGCGGTGTACGAACGCCTCGCCGATCAGTTCGCTGCCACCGAAGCCTCGCTGGCCGCCACTCTGTTCCCTTCCCAAAACCCACCTCAACCCTTCTCTTCCTTCACCGTCTTCATCCTCGAAGTTTCGCCTAACCCTTTCGCACCCACTACTCAAGAGCAGGACCATAATTTTTCCCCAATCCTCAAAACCTTCCACTTGGAGCTTCCTATTGAAGACGCCGAGAAGGAGACTTTCCGCTCCGGGATTGGAGGCGACGTCGTTGTGGCGGGCTTTGTTCTGTTTTTCCCTAATTACTCCACGTTTCTGGCAAAACCCGGGTTTTACATCGAGGATTTGTTCGTGAGGGAGCCGTACCGGAAGAACGGGTTCGGGAGGATGCTGTTCACGGCGGTGGCGGCGCAAGCGGCGAGGATGGGTTACGGAAGGGTGGAGTGGGTGGTGCTGGATTGGAACATCAATGCCATCAAGTTCTACGAGCAAATGGGTGCTACCATTCTACCCGATTGGAGAGTTTGTCGATTAACCGGAGAAAATCTTCAGGCTTTTGCTCATCTTAACATTTGATCAATTCGGATTATGTCCCCCAAGTATCAAACTCTCTGTCCACATGCTCTTTATGATCTATCTAGGCTCTTCTAAGATTTCCCTTTTCTGAAATTATGTGATGTTGTTTTTCTCTCATGATGAGTTTTATTAGGTTCTGTGAAAGAGAATGATAAATTCTTCCTATGATGCTTCCGTAGTTTCATTTTCTACAATGTTTTAACTCGGATGGAATGCAAATTTCTTGTTTGAGGAATGTGTGCTTTTCTAGCTTGGTGTTGCTTCAACAGTTCATAGACTCTGCGTTTATGGTGGCAAACCAATGTGGCTTTCTAAGATTTTCGTGTACCTACTTTAAAGAGACTAGAAAATGGTAATAATATTTACAGGTTCTGTTAAATGATACAAAGTACTAATAGTTTTTGTAATATTTATTGTTATCATATTGATCATTGCTTGAGCTCATTCTGCACTTTGTGGTACGGATTGAGTATTATAGAACCTCCTTGATGTAATATAGATGCAGAATTGGGGGTGTTTTCCCTTTTAAAAGATAGGAGAGATTGTCCCTTCTATGAGCGATATACAGAGAAGATGAGTATGGTCTCGCAAGAATGACACGCATGAATCGAAATCGAGTAAAGGAGTAGGAGTCGAGTATGAAAAAAAAGAGAGAGAGAGAGAGAGAGAGAGAGAGAGAGAGAGGGGGGGACAACATGAAAAGAGGAAAAAGATGCTAAAACAAATGAACAAAGATGCGTGGAAGAACTAGAATAATCTAGAGACTAAAGTAGTTGGAAAAAAGTTAATGGGATTTGATAAGGGAAGTTTATTGATGGTACAATAAATATCATCTATCTATATTTCTATATTAGATACCAGTCAATTGGGAGAAGTTTTCCTTGAGATTAAGATATTATTTCCATGTCAGTAGTATTTTGGTAGTATGGTGTAAAGAAGCCAATTATTGTGGCTCTTTCAAAACACATTTGGGAAAAAGAGAAGGAAAAACATGAAGGGTAACCTGAATCTGCACTTGTGCAACATTGTTATGTGTCAAATGAGACTGAGAGTGGTCAAATATGAAAAGGAGGGGACAGCATGGAAAAAACAACAAAGATGCGTTACAACAACTCTAGAATGATCCAGAGAGAAAAGGTGTCAATTCTCGAGGGTTATCTACTGCATCGATAGTGTAGGTACGAGAAAGAAATGCAACAGATGATGCTACTGGTGCCCAAATGCAGGCCTTCAGCTATTTGTTGAAGAAAATTGATGATGATCCGAGGGTTCGTCGTCATTGAAGAAAGTTAGCACAGGGAGCAAGCAAGTAATTGAGTACATCCTACATCATCAATGGAGTTTGATTCATCTACTTTTTTTACATCATTAATGGATCATGTACTAAGATTTACAACTACATTTCAATAGAATTTCTTCAGCAGGTTAATGAGGAACATAACACACAACGGGTCTGGGAGAAGACATCCATTTTCTGGGGCTGGGCATTCCATTATTGAATACTGTACTAGTTTATTTTAAAAAGAAGTAGATTATTCTCATTCAAAAGTTTCAGCTCGTTAAACAAATTTTGCTTTCTATTTAAAAGTTCGCATCAAACACAAAATTCATTATCTATCAAAAGCATTTGATGAATTGATTATCATCTGCGACGTTCTCGGTTCTTGAAGAAAATCAGGGTCGGAGAAAAAGAGATGGAGTCAAATAAGAGAACGACTCCGGACAAGATAATGCAGTCCAAGGAAAAGATAAAAATGGAGGTGGAGCAAAAGAAGATGGGAGAAAAGATATCTAAGGAAAGGCGCCATTTTTCTTATCTCAAACATGCTACTACTTTAATTAAGTACTATATGGATAAATATCTATATTAGATAGATACCAGTAAATCTGCAATTTTGTTTGTGAGTTGGTGTGAGTTTTTGTTGATTATGAGATATTATTTTAACATATTGATCCTAAATTTTGAAAGCAATTGACATGACATTAAATTGTTATATATATATATATATATATATATATATCAATTATAATTAGGAGTATAGTTCACTAGCAAATGGAAGATTCATTTCAAATATGTCTAGTTGTGATTCTCTTTTGAGCCCGGGCATAATTGAAGGAATTTGTAAATTGTTTTTTCTTCAATCAAAATTGTCTTGTTTTGTACAAAATGTGTAATTGTTTTACTACCTTACTTTTTATTGGGAGCGGGCAAAAACAAATTATTTATTTATTTAAGTGAAAAAAAGAAACCGAATTCTTCACATAAGAAACGCAAGATTTTTGTTTTTATCATGTTAATTAACTGCCAATATGATTTTATTTTTAAAAAAAAATTCAAAAAAAGAAAAAGAACTGAAAACGCAACAACTGTTACATTTGTCGACCAATGATAATTAAAAAAAAAAAAAACAAATAACAACAAAATGAGCTATATTTAGACACACAGACAATAGGAATCTATCAACTAACCTATCAGATGTTTTAAGCCTGAACTGAATTAAGCTAGTGATGAATGAACTCCTAACACGAAACTTTTGACAGGTTGTACACTTAAGCTTCTCTATAGGGTTAGTGGTGCACTCGCTCGCTAATGTTGTGCTATATACATCTACGAAAACCATCAGTTAGGGTCGATTATGGTTTCTCAACTCTAATACTTTTCGATTTTTCGACTTCTTCCAGTGAGAGAAAACCGGTTGATAGAGGTTTCGGTCCAAGCAACTTGGAAATTACCGCTAAAAGCTTTTGGCAAGCTTGGAATTCTTCCAACTTCTCCCCTTCCGAACGCTCCAAGGAGGAACCTCTCCAAGGCTCATCAAATGACCTGAGCAAACCATATACCAGCAGTTTGAATGAGCATCTATGGTAACAAGCGGTACAACCTTGACACAACTGTATTTTCTTCAGCTCCAGGATAGAGGTAAAATTTCAACCAAAAAAAACAAGTACGTACCATCTCCAGTCAGGATGAGCTTCTGGTGGGCTTTTCACTTTCTCCAAGAGGGATGTAACAGAAATCCAATCATCACCAAGCAGCGAATCTGTTTCAGGCCAAAAATCAGATTTAAATTTATCTATTATATTTCAGTAAAAGGAAAGGTCAGTCAATCTTATCATAGTTACAAAATGAAGGGAAAGCCACAGCGTCTTCCAACTTCTTTACAAAGGAAACTTTATTAAGATCTTGCATAGTACAACAGACGTAATGTCGCAGTGATGATGAACAAATCTGAAACACGTGCATAAGACTGAACAAATTATATCAGAAGTTAAGAAGCAAACCTGGAGAGGTACCAGAAAAGAGGAGAAGGCAAAGTGCAGAGACAACAGATGGAAGTAATTCCCACTTTGTGCTTAGCAGCTGTTGCAGGTGAAAAATCGATGAGCCTAAAACCTGTATGCAGTTGTGGTCATTTTGGTTTCCTAGTACATTTTCACAGCCCTCCAACAAAGAATGCAGTGTACTCAGCTCCAATCTAGAAGTACGAATAGACTTCGAAACGTTCCTTCCAATAATCACCGAAGCAGTCAGCCATCGTAAAAGCTTTGACAGAAGATCCTCTTCAAGTTCTTCTTCTGGTATATTTGATAAATTGCACCATGGTGCTTCAGGTTTAGTCACTTTCATCAGGCGGGACTGAATGGCAGTTGAAATTGCCCAGCTTGTGAACTCAAAAAGCATGTGTTCATCCTGCAAACAACATTTCAAGAGGGTGTAAAAATCATAGCATACAGCAATAAGATGCTCATTACGTTTCCACATAGAAACACAGAGGGTCTAACGAGTATGGAATGCTGCTAGAAGATGCTTATTAAGTTTTTTCAATAATTTGGAATTGAACAAGTATAGAGTAATGCAAGACATTACTATCAGGGTCGCTCTTTGTTAGAGTCCCTTACTGGTCATGCTAGAATCGAAAAGGAAGGGGGAGAAGGAACTAAAGAAAAAAAGAACAAATAACTTTATACAAAATGGATAGGAATGAGAAAATAAGAATACCATATCAAAAATTGCAGGTTGGGGAGTACTCATAAGTATAGCTTTAAGTCCAATCTCCGCAATCGAACAGAACTGTTTACCGCAACATTTATCAATGGCTTGATACAATTTAAATAAACTTTCAAAAGATGGGGTAAAATGTGGCTTATAAACTTCTCTCTTTTGTGAGAGCTTCAATGTTGTCATCAATAGCTGTAGAATCTGATCAGTGGTTCTGGTTTGTTGTTCTGTAAATCTTGTGCCACCAACTAAGATTCTGAATAGATGCGATGCAATTTCAGCAAGTGGCTCGAAGGGATACTCCCATTCGCTAATCCATCTAGATGAAATAATATCATTAGCCACCTGATAAGAGGCACCAAACCTTCTTTAGGAGAACATCATACTACAAAATTAGGAACTTCAACGAGTAGAATAATATTCAACGCAACTCAAAAGATTTGAAATGATTCATATCGTCAACTGTGCCCATTCCAAACCATGTAACACAAAAACATGGAAGAAAAATTTATACCTCCAGCATGGCTGCTAACTTTTCATAAGGAAAGCTGTTTTGGTCTTTGAGTAACATCCAATGAAAAGATGCAATAATAGACGACAACCAAGGAATCATGCCACAGTATTCAACCAAGTTCCGTGCTACTTCCCGTATTCTGACAGACTTCTTAACCATCTGCAATAAAAAATTACAATTCTCTTTCAATAAAAGATCTCTATGTGGTGCCTTTTGAACATCCTAAAAGCACCAGCCCAGAGTTTCGATTGCATCTCGACATTCAAACATAAACATAGAATACGAGACAAGTGATTTTGATATCAAGAAGTACTAGAAACATATTTTACCCAGAAAAATTACCAGTCAGTATACAACACAACTAGGGTAAGAAATTAACAATCGCATGCCAGCAAAAATGATACAGATGTCAACGAGGAAAAGAACAACTAATAAATCAAGGAGTATAATAATAAAAAATACTAAGTTTGAAAATAAATCATAAACCCAACAAAAAAGCAGTGCAGGTCACTGAAGCAAACATAACTTATCCACCAAAGATTTAGAGAGACATGATCAACCAGAAAAGTAGAAAACATATTACCTGAACAATCAGGTCCTTTGACTCAGCATCTGAAAGAGGAGAAGTATAGAAATTCAGAAGGGTCTGAAAAGTGGAGTTTCTGACAAGTATCAGAGCATCCTCATCCATATCTAGAGCTGAGTTTAGAAGACGAAGCATCCATAACCTCTCAGTCTTGAAATTAATAGAACAACTCCAAAAAAATTCCTGGAAGAAGGGTATGCCCTATTTACACAGAAAAGATATAAATACATGAGAAATCCTCATGTAATTCCAAACCAATGAGACAAATGGAATAATTGAATGTTCCAGTGATATCCAACCAGCCTCCTTGAATATAGGTAGTATAGCACAAGGAAGAGGACAATCATAAAATGGAACTGATACCTTAAAATTAGCACCTGAAGCTCGCATGAGAGCTTTACTTAAAGATGAATGAAGATGATTAGAAGAATCCAACAGAATAAGAGAAGCTTCGGCAACAAATACAGCAGTTATGGAAGGAATCCTTTGACACTCTTCTTCTATACCATTTTGCAAGTAGGATAACAAAAGACGGAGTCGCATCACATCCTTCCTCTTCGGACATCTCTGCATTCAAGTAGTTGCAATTAGTTATAGAACGAGAAATAGATGCTTACAAAACACATCAATCCACAACCTTTTGGAACCACGCCTAAATATAGAAGCTAATGCTCTAGCATATTTTTCATCTAAAATGATATGAAGCTTATCATCCATACACAATTACATTGTCATATCAAAAGCCATCAAGACCTCAAAGAGTTCTACACATTTTCCTCTTGCAAGAGGTAGATACCCTCAAAGACCAATCCCCTTGAAGCATTTTTAAAAATTGATAAGTGACCAGGGGATGTACAGTTACTTGGCTTTCGGAAACGCTCATGGTTTGTCGAAAGGTCCAAGAATGCACAACCTTTCAGAGGAGAGAGAGAGAGAGAGAGAGAGAGAGTGTGTGTGTGTGTGTGTGTGTGTGACTGGCGAGTGTGTCAATTAGATATTCATTGGACACTAAAAGAGCTTCCAACTCTTGATTTATTGGTGTGAGCAACTTAGTTTCATTCATGTACTATCAAATTGGAGATGTAATCCACGACTTGTATGGCCCGAATCCACACAAATACTACCAATTATCGCCAATTTGATATCAGAAAAACCATGTTCAACCAAAAGAAGAAAATCCTTGTACCTCTAGAACACTCTTGAATTTTACAATAGCTTCATAGCCCAACTTCCTTATATCGGTATCAGGTGAAGACAAAGCCATAAATGCAACAGCAAGCAAACCCAAACTAGCGAACTCCAAGGGCTCAATATATTCCATCGCAAGACCATGAACTCCGAAACGCAAGATGAACAATGGATCATATACATAGATCTTCCTAGAACATCCACTATGTTTCTGCACCGAAGCAATTATAAGATACACATATACGTCAGCCGCCTATATGTCTCAAATTTCCTCGCCCTAAAAATAATGAATAAGCTAGGAAGGAAAAGAAAAAGAAAATAATTATTTATCGAAATTGCAACATAAAGGGGGCATGTGATGCGTTCAGAAAGTACCTGGTAAAAATTATCAGTATCAGTATTACTTGGACTTAGATCAGCAGCAGATCTATTATAAGGAAAATAATGAACAGTCCTCAAACATAATTTGGGTTCAACAGGAAGATTTTCTCTGAATCGATTCCGTCGCTGTTCAGCAATTACTTCATCATCCTGTAAATGAAAAGAAGATAAACCCTGCACCCGTTCTAGTTCCGTACTGACGTTAATAGCTGCAGAGCCCCATAGGTAATCCCACTCAGCAACAAGTTCAAAATGTGATTGATCAACAGTCTCAATTTCATTCATGAGATTGTATATTTCTAGATCAATCTCACTCGTGGTTGCCCCATAAGATGACAACAGTAACAAGACCAATTCTTTCACTTTCTTGTCTCTGCGTGTTCTGGAATCAAAACTCTCTTGCTGACTGGTGATATTAACAAGAAGCCTCAGCAACTTAACCAATTCCAACTTCTTCATGTAAGGTTCAATTGTTTGACAACTGTTTTTTCCATCAGTATTTTCTGCTGCAAAAGGAAACACAAATGACTTCATTATCCTGCTGCTATCCGTAAAAGAAACGCCCATTTGAGAACTAGAAGATTTATGGTCAAAAAGAATGGTTGGAGATATTTGGGGGTCATCATCTTCAAGTAGCCGCTGAAGAATAGGAACACAAGAGAACTTTCCATTTGGCAGCAAAGTAAGAACATTTTGAAGCATTTTTAATGTATAAGGATCCTCAAATCTATGACGAAGAAAAGCTTCAACAAGTTGCTCGAAAGGAAAAGCGTCCCATACACTCAAACAATCATACGTGCCTCCTATCGATTCCAATATATTCTCAGCAACAAAGACTTCCAAAAATCTGAAGATTGCATAGTTCCTGTCCTTGGCTTGAAATTTCTCAACAATATGTATCCATGAAAAGACCAAGACACTCAGAAACCGGTTTCTTGAAGTGCTAAACTCTGAGAGGTTCCCAATCGATTTTCCATCTTCCGAGTAGGGCTCAGACTGACAATGCTCGAGGCTTAACAGCACCCTACAAAAGCGTATCTTCGCAATAATTCTATTTGCAAAATTCAAAGGTTGTTCAAATGAAGAGAAAACATGATTGCTGACATCCCAGTCCAAAAACCCAACAGATGCACTGGTATGTGGGCAAAGTTTATCAAATAGATTCAATCTTTCTTTGATTTCTACCAAATGCCCACTCGCACCTAGGTAGAGTTGCGTCAGAAGTACTGCTTTTCCAAGAAGAGTGGAAGAGAAAAGATTAAGAAGTTCTCCGATTGATGAAGGCAAACACTGAACATGTTTGGCCGCAAATATATCCTTAGAAACAAAGGTGTTCCAGTCAGATAGGCCCTGCGAAACTATCTTCCAAAATAAAGTAGTTACATTCTCAAAATGTCGATAATGCTCCGCACCAAATTTCAAAAGGGCAGCATCAGTGTACAGAAGGATGGTGGGAAGAAGCAAGAAAAACTCGTCAGCTTCCTTCATATTGACTTCAGAAAGTGAATATTTACTTGATACATCATCCACCAGATGTCCAAATGCAAAAAGATGCAGGTAACTCATTTCAGAAAGATTAAACAACAATTCTGCTTTAGTGGTAGTAATTTTCTGCATGCAATGAGAAAGAAACTTTAGTGGAACACGCGATAGAAGTCTTGAAGAAGCCATTATAAAATGCAGGCTGTTCTTCCCCATATTGGTATGATATTTAACCGCCTTAGTGGCTTTCAGTAAACAGTGAAAAGCAACCTCTTGTTCCACACGAGTGGCAATTTCACATATGCAGAAAAATGATTTCTCAAACAAGCCAACATCACGACTACTGCCAGAAGCACCAATCAACGAATCAAATACTGGCTCTTTTGCTTTTAAAGACAGCATACACACTCTAAGCGAATCGAAAGCACATGAAGCAACCTGTAAACCAACAGAGAGAGCGCAACTTTTGAAAGAATGGAGATCTGAAGTATCAGCTTGATCAATCTGGGAGAACATCCAGTCCACCAACTCAAAGAGATCAAAGGGACATATGAATTCCTTCAGATTATTCAAAGCATTTAACGTTGGAATTAGATGGAACAAACCTTTTGTCCTCTCCATACAATCAACGAACCCCTTCTTGAATGAAAAAATTAGTTTCTGCACCAGCACATCAAAAGTCTTTGGAATTTGTCCACCAGTTTGATCAACTTCCAATAGAGATACCGAGTTACGTGGTAAACTGACTAGGAGCTCACAGGTTACTCTTAATAAGTTCAAAACAAGATGGTCCGTTCTATGAACTTCCTTTTCAGCCATGTTACGTAAGCTCTCCGGTGGCCAGTGGAAAATGTCATCCCTAATATTGGTGGCAGTCGTCAAAGGGTCCTCTAAATAAGCAGTGACTAAAGGGTGGGAAAACACAACCTGAGCCACCACTTCTTGAATATAACAAGCTGAAGAAAGAGAAGGAACGCTTGAAGTGCTATCAGAGCCAATTTGTTCAACCAACAAGTGTTTGAGGATGTGCTCTGCAAGGAAAAATAATGATTCACAAAGCTTCTCAAACTTTTTAACTTGTTTGGTTCTAGAAGACCTCCGCGCTTGAAGTATACAAAACAAGATGTGGAGAAAAGCAGAGATAGAGTGCTCAGGCTTCAGCACAGAGAGCTTATCCAGAAGTAAATTCCGCATTTTTGAATGGTCCAGCAACATAGAATCATCAGTGAAGAAAATAAAAGGAAAGAGAGTATGAAAAGGTGCCACCTTCACAAAGGAACCAAACGCAAGAGAAAAAGATTCTTGCCCATGAACAAGCATATCAGTTATTATAGTCGTTCCTCCTGCTTGAACTCCAGCATAGCAAATTTCTGGCCATAACTTAAACAAGTCCACATTTTCATTCCTTAATACTCCTTGAACTTCACGAAGAACATCATGAAACAAACCACCAGATGCAGGAAGGTTCCCTTCAGTCCCATAACTACCAGAGACTTCTTGGCTCTCCTTAAGGCTTCTGGCAAAGCATAACAAGCTATTCAACGGCCTCCATTCACAATGTCTACTGGAAAGCTGATCAATTTTGCAAGAGCCCTCGAGTCCTTCAGAGAGTATAAGACAAATGATGGATGATAAAAGTCCAGCTTCAACCTGAAAAAAAATTATCGCTGCTTAATCTATACATCCAAAAATAGAAAAGCATTACTTTTCCCTTCACATCATATTACTAAAAGCAAGAATGATAAATATTAGAACTCAGAAGTGCAAATAATCCAAAGATAACCCATTACCTGAGTTTCCAGAAGATACTTTGATGTAGTAGAAACATACAATGATATAACTAACTTCTCATGTAGCGGGCGAGACTTTGAACCAAGGACCTTTAGACAGCTTCGAAGAATACAAACAATAAAAGGGCCGAAATTTGGAGACACGTCTGTAAGATTATAATATCAACATTGAATATTCATTAGCATCCTTCCGAAATAGCAGTATAGTCAAAAAATCATGAAACAGGGACTAGCATTTGTTCTGTTCTTTTCAATGTTATATCCAGCTATCCAAGCTCCTTTTCATCAACTCGAATATGGGTTTACAAATAGCTGGACAAACATTAGTCCATAAAAAATTCCCGAGACAATCATTTTCCTAAAGAATACAGTACAAATTGTGACTCAAACTTGAGTTAACTAAACTCCCGAGAAGGATTCCAGACTTTTGATAAATAAAGGTCACTTGTTTCCATGAATTTCCCAGAGAAATGTTAATGTACAAAAAACGGACCTAGCATTTTCTACTCTGAACTTCAAGTAATTAGCCAGTTTCACTCTCAAAATATATTCAAACAGGAGAGAGCATGGAAAACCGAAAAGATAATTAATTCAGAAACGATTTAACAATCTAAATCACTGAAACAAAGAAAAAGACTAAAGATCCAATGGCAATTACCCGTTGAACCCCCTACGTTGTTGACAAAGCCCCGTAAATGATCCAAATACCGAAACAAGTTATTTCCACAATCAACTTTTGAAACAGCTTCACGTAGAAATTCAGCTAATCTTTGAAACATCTCAACATCCTTGTCATGGACATGAATGTAATCTCTGTTACAACCAGGTATAAATAGTAACCAAGTACTGATTTCCCCGGGATTTATGTCAAATGCACCAGTACTAAACATTGCTGCCTGTGCTAGGGTGTAAGCCCAATCCTTTATGTCCCGTCTTGGGGAATACATGACCAAATTGATGAATGAATCCAGATGCTTATACATCTCGGGCGGAGTTTTAAAGGAGATGTCATGCTGGCGTATCTCCACAACTTGATCTACAAGCAGGGACAATAAAGATCGCTGCACAATCGTTGGTGATTCCAACAATTTTCTGGAAAGAAACTTAAAGAAATCAAATGACCCTGCAGTAGCAGAAGGCAAAGCCCGCTGCAAGAGATAATGATAGCACTGTGTTAGCAACAGAAATACCAGCACCCACAACCATTCCGTGACTATTCATTTCTGAGAAAACAAACAAATAGGCCAATTATCCTAATGCTAAGAATGAATAGGTCTGATTCCAAAAGCTCTTTCCCTCGAAACACCCAAAATTTGTTTCCAGACAAAGATACTAAAAGCGAATATCTTACATGAAATATTTTGAGAGCATCAAGCAACTTAGAGAAAAAGAATGATTCTCCATGTTTAATGGCAGTCTCCTCAGTTGAACAGCCTAGCAAGCCCCAAATTTCCTTTACATGATTTAAGAAATCCACGCTGTTGTTCAATTCATTGGTATCATAATCGAGTGGAGCTCCATCACTCTCAATCAAACCATCATCTGGGACAAAATCAACCCCACTGACAACAAAATCATTGTCCTCATTTAAGGTGCTATTCTTTAACCTCTTCCAGTCAATCAAACACTCCGAGTCAAGATCCTCTTCTGCAGTCCTCTTTGTAGGTTTTTTACTACTCTTGAAATTTCCATTTAGAGAGGGAAGTAGATCATATAACACCTGGGGTTTAGGAAGTACAATCTGGACTGCATTCTGAACATCATGCTGGAGAGAAGCCCACTTTTGGTCAAGAGAAGTGGGCACGCCTTTTAGAGTAGAAATGAGAGAATCAAGAAGCTTTAGTTCCATTAATACAAGCTTCAGAGCCCCATGTTTCACAAGAGGATCAGGCTGTAGCAATCCTCTACTAATCAACGATTGCGTAAATGGGCGCGGTCCTATGCACTTCACAACATCCTGAACAACTGAACTGCCAAACGATGGAGGCTCCTGAGACTGTGAATCAACAAACTCAAACCTAAGTCCATCACCCACTGAAGACACAACATCTGCAGCAAGAGAAATTGCAAAAGGCCTGCAAGTACTTCAGTAACTGCACATGAAAGAAAAAAAAAATCCAAATTGCTCGAGAATGAAAAGTTCTAACCAGTTAGGTGATGATTGATCTTGCACATTGTAAGGGAACTCATCCAAGTAAGCAGAACCAAAGGCAGGCCTCCCTTTCACGATAGCCAAAAGCAGCTCTTTATGATAGTCAACCTTAGTAGGGTTCAGTTTTTTCATAAGATCCAACAACCGCTTCATGTTTCCTTTCAAAGGACTAGGCTTTCTCTCCAAATCAGGCATTAACCCATTAGAGGGGTCCGTACACACTTTTAATAGAACACTATGAGCTAGGTCTGCAGCAACACCACCATCCTCCCCTCCGGAAATGCCAATCAACTGCTCTAATGTTGCACTCCCAAACAACACACTCCTAAGCGCCGGTGGAACCAATGACTCTGGAACGAGCACTCTGTCACGTAATGTCGACAAAACATAAACCACAATCTCGTCGTCATCAGTCCCCAGTCCACGAAGCACCCCCGAATACATATCTTTCTGCTGCAGAATCTCCCTAAATAACCGCGGATTAGCAACTTCCAGAAAGGACATAGCAAACCCCACAAACTCCTCCCTAGTCAAATACTTCCTCTTCACCACATTCTGCCTCTCTTTCCTCCTCTCCTTATTCCGCCTCCCTCTCGTCTTCTCCTCATTCTGAAGCCTAGCTTTCCACTCAGAGAGCTTCGTAAAATTCGCGACCTTAAAATCGAAACGCTTCAACACATCCCACGCCAAACCCGTCCCGCGCCTAACTACAGAAGCCAACAACAACAAGACAGCTCTCTGCCTTTTAGCCTCCTTACAATTCAACTCAGTATACAAATCCTCCATTTTGTCCATGATAATTTCCCGCGCAAACTTATCCAACGCACTACTTATAATCAAATTATCACTACTCCTCCCAAAAGGATGGCCCAAAACAGCAGAAACCAAATTCAATAACTGGAAAAACTCTGGCTTGCCTTTTTGGAGGTCCCAAGCTTTGAGAAACTCGGCACACCTCGATGATGATTGAATATAAGAACTGAGGATTTTGGAACCGGAATCGGATTTGAGAAGCTTTATGAATTCCTTTGAAGCATCCACACTGAGTTTTGATTGGGTGGAAGTTAAGTTGCGAAGAAGTTCGATAAGCTTGGCATCAAGAGATACTTCATTGACGAATGTAACTTCTTTACGCGATTCGTCCGCCATCGTAGTGTCGTCGACTTCTGCTGCCACCGCCATAGTCGGAGCTCCGTTTACGGTGGCTCTTCCCTGCAAATTCAAATGGGGGAAGACAGAGAGGACATAAACCCTAAACCCTTTCCACAGCTTAAAACCATAAAACCTCCGGACTTTCTTAATCAGTTCAATTTACCAATTTCTCCTTTAATCTTATAATAATCAATTTTAATATACCAATTCTTCTTTTTATCTTTGTTTTTTCTTACAGAAAAAAACATACTTTGGAAATAAATCAAAGCCAGAAAGGAAGGGGGAAAAAAAAAGAAAAAACACACATACACACATATTGTATACGGTTTATTATGCAGAGAAAATGTTTTTCAGTTTGTTTAAATTATTTTCATTTTTTTCCTGTGAACAATAATAAAAGGGCTAATATCAAAAACACCCTCAAGCTTCAGCCCATTATCTAAAACACCCTCAAGGTATAAGAAATATCAAGAACCTCCCTTGATCAGACGGACCGGAATGTCAAACGGTGATTCATCTGAAATGACAAAAAGCCCGCCACGAATCCCGGTCAAAATCTGGTTTGGAATGGAAATATCTGATTCTATTAAAGAAAATACAAACTCCAACTTCAATTACTCCCCTAAAATAAAAGATCCTTATCTAATTGTTATTGATTTAAATTAATTGAATTGTTCCCCTTCCCATTTATTCACTTCTTCATCCCTTCCACGCCTAATTTCACATTCCTTTCATATTCCAATCCTCACGACACTTCGGTTTAGGTGGAGATGAGCAGCAATGGCGGGGCCAAATAATTCATCGTTGCCAGGGTTGTCTTCAATGACTTGTCCGAACTCTTGGAAGCTTTTTGAAGTTGCTTTTATGGATTCTAAGTTCACCTCATATAGTGGGTCGAATTTTTATCTTAGATTTTTTTTTAAAGAATATTTGATTGTGATTTGATGGTGCTAATGGGTTCTTGGTGGCATTAGTGGTGGTAAGTTGTTTTGGTGAGTTTACAGTGGCGATTACGATAATGATGGTTTCGAGAAACATATATAAAAGGATAGTGGTGGATTTGATTGCGTTTGTAGGTGCGGGTAGAAATAATTTGGACTTTGGAGTGGTTTATGAGTGGTGGAAAGTAAGATTGAGGCGGCTATGGTGTTAAAAACTTATAAATTGCTTGATGGTGGTGGATGAGACTGCTTGAAGTTGCCGACGGTGGTGGTGATTGATGGAGTAGCTGGGTGCCTGCCGAACATGATGTTAATTGCTCTAAATACTTCTCATAGAGGGTATAATTGTCCTTCCATTTATATGACATCAGCATTCATGGTTCTTTCTTCAGCCTGAGGATGGAATTGATGATTAGAGGGTACTACCTCTGTTCTAAAATTATTGTCTAATTTCATCTTTCACTTTTAATACAATTTGAACCAGAAATGAAAATTCAAACTGGACAATAATTGTGGGACGGAGAGAATATAATTTAGTGATTTTTAATATTTCTTATACCTGGAGGGTGTTTTAGATAATGGGTCAAAGCTCTGGGGTGTTTCTTTAGTTTGTCGGGTACAAGAATATAAATAATTTCACAGGTGCTTCAAATTTTTTTAATATGCGGGTGTAAAGTGTAAACGGATTTTGGGATGAGAAAATACAAAATTATTATATCGACTTTTGATAATGAACAAAAGTTGTGTTAAAAAATCAACATTAAATGAATACTCCCTCCATTGTATTCTCTCAATTATTATAATTTTTTTTAGATTTTATTTTCAAACCTCAGGATAAATTTAAATATTTATAATAAGGATTGAAAGGAATACAAAAATGTAGAGCTCGCTCCCACAAAATGATATTTAGTTTGAAATTTCACGTTTACTACATACATTTATCATTGTACTAAAAATAAAAATTTAAACTGATAAGTATTTTAGGACAAAAAAAAACTACATTATTAAGCTGAAGTGTCAAATTACCGAACCAAACTTAACTTGCACTAAAAGGGTTGAGATAATCTGTCTTTCGCCGATCACAAAGGTACTTGGTTTATGTGAATCCCTTGTTTCTCGTGTAATATACGATTGTTGTACGTATTCAGAACTAATGTTTATCATGTGTGTTGCGTGGGTTGTAGTATAAGTTGTAAAAATAGAAATGAATGTACATTAATTAAAATATTCAATAAATCAATTAAAATTAAAAAAAAAAGTGAAAAAAACAAGTAGTTAAAGTTTTGTAACGATTTAATTGCATGATATATATATATATAGTTAAAATCTTAAAAGATCAGATTATGTTATTTTTAAATTATGTATAGTATTTTTTGTTTATAAAATGATAAAATATTAGTAAGAAGCCACTTTTAATTTTAAAACGTTATGAATTATAGTTATATATAAAAAAAAAATGAGAACTGCATTATGTAAATCCTTACATATCAATGTAACACATATCCTTACATCTTTTTCATCGAACCACATCGCTCGATTTCTACAAAAATCCAACTACGTTAATATTTATGATTTGGCTATATAATGTATATTCTCGTTGTTTGAAATATGCAATCTTAATCAGTATGGCAAATATAGTTAATCTTGTAGTAATTGTTTAAATATATACTGTATGTTTTAAAGTGATCGTCTATCTAAGTATTCACTTTATGTTTCATCTGATCCTATTTATAAGCCATAACATTAAAATGAAATGAAATAAAAATTTATGTTGTTTCTTCGGAATTTGGGTTACATTTGTTAGAAAGGTCGTTTCTAGGGATTGTTCCGCGGCTAAAGCGTGATGTAGGTGTATCATACTTCTGCAATGTTGTTATGTAACATTTTGGGCTCTTTTCCTCTTTTCAAATAAAAAAAAAATAAAGTTTATGTTGGATCGTATAAAAATAACCATATCGAAATAAATATCTTTTAAAAAAATAAAAACTGTAGTTGACGTGATCAGCAATCTTTGACCCGCAAGCAGAACAAACAATAAGTACAACGTTGGTGCATATATTCAAAAGAATCCCACCGGGGTCACACCATAATGTCTGCAAATCATATGTCACTCGAAGACCTGGTATCTTCTTAGTCTTAAAGTCTATCTCTACGGTGTCAACAAAATCATATTTACATTTTTTTAATTGTTTTTTTGAATACTCTAGCAAATTGAAACTTTCTGCAAGAAACCTTCTTCCTCAATATGTATATAGTAAAATTAAGGTGATTTCATGATTTTAATCGGTCTAATAACCACTGAAATCAAAGAAGTTAAATTATAGGACTATATTGTGCACACACGATGAATTGAATCCAGTATTTTCAAACTGGAGAGTCTGCTACAAATATATAAAATTAAAATCAAAGTTCTATTTTCAGTCAATTTCAAATTGGGGAACTATAAAAACATATTTGAATGCTTGCGCATTTTCTCATTCTCATGTTAACCCCCTCTAACACTTAAACAATGGTTGTTTTTTTTTTTGTTGTAAAATGGCATAGTATAGTTACCAATAAATATTATTTTCTTTTATTGATACTAATTATTTATTCGGTAATTGGTTAATGAATTTAGGATTTCTAATTCAGTATTAAGCATTCAAAACTAAACACTAATTTTTATCAAACACCTCATAAGTTAAGAACAAATCATGTATAGATGATCTTGAGTCCCTTTTTAAAAAAAAAAAAGAAATCCACACCAGTAAATCTCATTTAACTGTGAATAAAACCCTCTTATATAACCCTTGGTGGGAATTTAGTCTTTAACTGTTTTTTGCTAATATATAAAGACACCCATTTTTTAAATTTTAAACACAATAAAAATTACCCTTTTTTTTTTTCCAACCATTGTTACGAAGTAGACGAAGACGCAGCAGCAGGAAAACTGAAAAGGGTCAACTTTCCCAGGTCCACCAAAATTGAAGAACATATATATCATAAAGGGGTGATAATTGAAAAAACTAAAATAAGAAGAAAATCTAAAAACATCATTAACCCAAAAGAAAAGGACCACACTGAAAGCCTCCAAACATATACCCCCAAAATTCTTAAACCACGCCTCCAAATTTCCTCATTCTCATCCTTTTAATACTTTTTCCAGTTCTGCCACCGCCGGCGCCGATGCAAAAATCCAATTCTCCTCAGCCGTCTTTTTTTTTCACCTTTGGGAAAATTCAACCTCACCAAAAGGAAATACTCACGAAATTTTCAACCTCATGCACGCAGATTTTGATAATTATTGATTGATTGATTCGATTTTTTCTTTCTTATGTGTAAATCGAAGAATCGACTCAGCAACGGAGTGACAGAACCTTCTTCCACCATGGCTAAACAACGGAGATCAACTTCACAGAAAACAGTCAAATCCCAGAAATCCTCCACCTCCACAGATCCTTTATCTTCATTCAGCAATTATAACTCCATTCAGAGCACGGGATCTAGCTATTACAACCGGGATTCGTGGGCGACCGCGTCGAATTCCGGCTCCCGCGCCGACCGATCGCCGTTGTCCAGACTCCGGGACAATCTTCCCGAACAACCCCATATCTACGACATATCTGAGATCTCGGCGGCGACCCATAATTTTTCGATGAAGCCCTTTTCGTCATCCTCCACGTCAACCTCCTGGCGGTGCACCGTTCGCGGCCAAGAAGTAATGCTAATCCAGCGCAAGTTCCGGCGCCGTCTGATCGACGTTGCTGAGCTTGGAGAAAGGTTAGCGTTAATTTGTAGGAGTCATCATTCCAGCTTGGTTAAGCTAAAGGGTGCGTCTATCACCAAAAATAATTATATTTATTTGGTATACGAATTTATTCACGGTGGGAATCTCGCTGAATGTTTGAGAAATCCCAGAAATCCTAGCTTTACTGTTCTTTCTGATTGGATGTCTCGGGTTAAGATTGCCCATGACATTGCACACGGGCTGGATTACATCCATCATTCCACTGGATTAGGACGTAATTTCGTGCATAATCATATAAAGAGCTCGAGTATTATTATCACGGATGGTTTGAATCCGAAGATTTGTCATTTTGGGACGGCGGATCTTTGCGGGGAGATAAAATCGGGTGATTCCGAAGAAGGTTTGGATTCTAAAAGCAAAGGTAAAACGGAGCTGAAAAGACCAGGGAGCGGGGAAATGAAGTTAGAGGGAACGAGAGGATATATGGCGCCGGAGTTCAAGAGAATGGGATTACCATCGGAGAAGACGGACGTTTACGCATTTGGGGTGGTGATATTGGAGTTGTTATCGGGGCGGGAACCTATGAAATACAAGTTTGATGAGCAGTGGGGAGGGTACGTGAGGGAGTCGTTGATTGAGACGGCGAAGGAGGCTGTGGCGGAGGGGGGCGGTGGAGGGGTGAGGAGATGGGTGGATAAGCGGATGAAGGATTCGTATCCGGTGGAAGTGGTTGAGAGGTTGGTGAAGCTGGCGTTGGAATGTGTATCGGAGGATCCGGGGAATAGGCCGGATATGGGTTGGGTGGTGGTCCGAATTTCGCAGTGGTATTTGGAGTCACAAACTTGGGTGGAGAAAATGGGTGGATTGCCTACTGATTTCTCTGTTTCTCTCGCACCTCGGTGACCGGCGGACTACATTTTTTGACACATTTGACATTCTCAATTGAAGATAGGTTAATCTTTTTGTTAAGTCTTTTACTTTTGTGTAAATTGAGTATAGAATACTGATGAATGAACTGACCGTTGGTCAATTCTTTACTACCATCTTATGTATTACGAATTCATTGTGTATAAAGTTGACATCTTTCGGATGAACATTTATTCATCATCCGTGTCGATTTTTGTGTAAAAGATGTATTGTTACGTGAGGGATTAATCGGTGACTAGTGAGAGGTTTGAGCAATGAAGTGGCTGACATCCTGGTATGATCAAAGCTATGTTCCAAATAGCGGCAGAGATAGCTCACGAGATCTCAGCTTAAGATGACCATGAAGAACCTAATTAGAGGCCGAGGGTCAGTATTTAGGGTGGAAGTCAAGTAAACTGGTGGTCCAGCAACACACACAATTGATTCAGAAGAAGCTGCAAGGTAAAGGGATGAGAATTGGCGTGTGAAACAACTTGATGTGTTTGGCGGTATCACTATCTTTGAAATCCAAGATTGACTTTCACTTGTCACGTGTTTAATTTAATGTAATTTGTTGGATGCTCGGGATGGTGGGGTTGATAGTACTCCCCTCCGATTCTTATTATAAGACATTTTGACTTTTCTTAGATTTTATTTAGTGCACATTTTAATTAACAAAAACCTTAATATATATTTTCACATTCGTTGTGTTCTCTTGATTGTTATGAAATATTTTGAAGGTTTTTTCGTCGATTAAAAATGTGTACTAGGTTAAATCTAGGACAAATTTAAATGCCTTATATTAAGAACCGAGGGAGTACTAATTTGGAAAAAGAAATTCCAAATCTGGATGCAGCTGATTGCCCTTGACCGCTTGAAAGACTTGATTGGGGCCTCCGGAGATTACAGGACCAGTTGTTGACGGACCTCTTACCATGTACTCATGTAGGCTTCATCATGCTATAATTGCGGTACTGTGATCATGGGCTCAAGTTTTTATGCCACCTGGTTTGTAAAATCCGTAGATGATTCCAACTTCAAACGCTGGTGCCTAAGGCAACTTTGCTGTCTCTAGTTGCAGAACTCGGGTTTCAAGTAATATTTGAACGGTGGACACTGGAAGAATGCGGGGATTGTAAATGCTTGTTCTCCGTTACAAAGATGATGGTGATTATCCATTTAGCAACATTGTAGTCATTGTTCCAGGTCACTGTACTTCCATTTCCTAACTGTTGAAGGGTAAGTTCTCTCCAATAGCTACACGAATTTTTGAAACAGAACAATCAACAATAGAGATGATTGTGTGATCATTGATCCCTGATAAAGCTTTTCCTTTCGCAAACAAATGGAACACAACAACTGACGGTAAAGCCAGCATTAATGATGTAGTAATCTGCCAAAATCTCTAACTCCTTCCGGATCGTACTAGCACAGGTGAAGTGCCTGACGGAAGTGGAATTGGAGGAGGTGGGGCTGCTGGTGATCGTGGGAAGGGTGGTGGTGCATCGTCCCATGCTAATTAGGAAATTAGAGTTGAGGGCTCTAACGGCTCTACTAAGGGAACCACGGAAGAGGAGAGTATTTATGGACCATGGTTGCTGGCTAAACCTACAGGAAGGCCTTCCTTTTGGCGTAAGAAGGTGGGAAATGATGCAAACCATAAGAAGAATGGAATGGTTCCGACATAGACGTTGAATTCATCGAATGAAGTTGAGGAGGGGAATCGGTCAGCACCTTTCAACCTGGAGGTGAGGGACGCTACTCGTTTTCAAGTTGGGAAGGATTTGCGGGGGAACAAGAATGTAGGAGCAAGGGAGGCAAGGAATAAAGGAAAGCCAGGGAAAGGGGATGACTTGGGGACCTTTGGAATGGGAAAGGGAAAGAGATTTCTGCTCCTACAACTACGGTTGGAAATCAAGGGAAGGAAACAGGGAATTCCATGGTTACGGTGGCAGAGAAGAGCACTTCCAATATGCGTAACAGTGGGTTGAATGTGGAGAATCGGAGGAGAATCTTGGGTGAAAATAATGATATTAAAGGAATGCGGATGGATAGTGGCTCCAGTTTGTCTCATAGAATGAACCAATTTGTTATTCCAGTAAAAACTGGACTTGATCTAACAAAATACCAAATTGTTATGATCATTGACAGTCCAACACATAGTACTCGCGATCATAATCATCCAAATGAATTTGGCCCCGGAGATGATTTTATGATTGAGGTCAGTCAAACTAGCAAGCATAATCGAGATGTTGATGATGAAGCCATGGATGAGATAGCTGCTTTAGGATCTACAGTCCCAAGTAGCCTTTGAACATAAGTATTCCATCTTTTTTATTGAATTTTATTATGAATGAAGTTGTTGGAAAGTGTGACATGGTTAGCTCGAAGAAAGATATTCAAGTTTTTTCGTCTACTAAATAAAACCCTTGCACAGATATGGTGGTATTATTTGAAATGCAAACATTATACTACCAAAAAAGTGTCTTGCATTTTCACGGAAGGATTATTCGAGGTATCATACACTTGTTGAGTAGATATTGGGGTTTGAAACTGCAAAATGATCATGAAAGGCTAAACTTTGGGAATAATGATTTAGCACAAACTGTACTTATGATTTCATTTGCCTCCTTCACTATACCAAAAAAAAGAGAGAAAATTTGTTTAAAAGGCGGTGAATGGGGTCAAATTAATAAAAAAAGTATGATCATAAAATATTTTTTATAAAGGTAAGTAACTTATTTATTAAAAATCATAAAATAAAAAATATTTTAAATTGACAATATCACCTTTTGATTTTGTAAAAAAAAAAATAAAGAAATAAAATCCAGACCAAATCGATACAAGACTCTTTCATTTGCCTAATTCTCTCCACTCTCAATCATCATAATCATCTCACCTCACCTGTTATCCATTACCCCTGACCAAAACACCACCAGCCTTTCCTCCTCCTTCCTTCTTTCTATAGTGACCGCTACCACCATCAATTTTCACCTTAAAGTCTCCCTTTTAATTTATTTCAATCCATAGGTAACGATTACCTCGAATTCTTATCGAACCAAGGAAAAGGACATCAAACCACAAGGAGATTGTTGGAAAAGGTAAAGGCTAAAGAGATAGCTCGAAATGAAAAAAAAAATTGATTGGAATTTTGCAAGGATCTTTTGAAACTTTCCACATCTTGAGAAATTAAAATTGCAATATTACGGAGATTTGGAGGAAGTTTCTTCCTTTTTAGTCCATATTTCAACTCTTCACAAAATTGTTATGGTTCACTGTGATCGAGCTTTTAGTTCCGTAGAGAAGCTTCAAAAAGAAAAATGCAACATTGGAAATGAGGATCTGGAAATTTCCGTTTAGTCACAGAATATGCAATGCGATTTTCAACTTTTGCGCAAGAACGTCCGCCCGAAGTGTGATTCCATGATATTATTACGTTAAAGATCAGAGAACCAATTCTCTGGCACCATCAGTCTTGTGTACAGTCTCTATTCTTTTCCACTCATTTTGGGTAGGATGTTTAATAAATGATACGATCTGAATAAATCATACGATCTGGTTCTGCATAATGGCACATGTATGAATTTGGACATTATCCTCAATGATTGACTCTTTTGCTCCAAACAAGCACTAATGATTTTGTGATTAAAGTATTTGGGTAACAAACATCATCATCGTCAAATCAAAGTTTTCTTTTAAAAAAAGTCTTAGTTTGACAATGTAACAAACATCATCATCGTCAAATCAGAGCTGCACAAAAACTAAATCATCATCATAATTTTTTGGCATGATTAAATTTAGACATTATCGTCGACCGTCGCCATGATAAGAGTTTATCCAATTATCAAAACTATCGCCATGATTAGACTATATCCAATTATCAAAACTAAGTTTCACAAAAATAAATCATCATCAAATTACCTCTGGCAACCATGATTTTGGAGTTCTTGAAATGTCAGGAAAAAAAATTGCTAGCATCCGGTGTTGTAAGCACTCAGTTTCATTAATCTGGCCATTTCCTTAAAAAACGATTAGGCTTTCATGTTTTTTTTTTTTTTTGAACTCAAAGGATGATATTATCAATTTTAAATATTTTTTATTTTATAATTTTTGATAAATAAGTTATTGTCCTTTATATTTTATGCACATACCCCTTTTATTAATTTGATCTTTTCTACAGCCCTTTAGACAAATTTTCCCTAAAAAAAAGATGTTTAATTAGCTTTAGCTGTGAAAAAGGTACGAAAGTATACGATGTACTCCATTAATAAATTATTACTACGTGGTAAGAATGAAAAGAAAGCAAAAATTGGAGAATACCCCTCGAAAACTTCAGGTCCAAAGTTAATATACCTAAGACCTCAAGGATCGATATACAAATTCAATGCAGTTTCTCCTCCGACAAGACAGCCTGCCGCCTTATATAGTTGCCTTGGAGGGTAATTCAGGAGTTGAGAACAGGTTTAAGTCTGAGGTTTATATTTTGTGGAAGAACTATAATCAGAAGAATTGTTTCCGCCAGAAAATTTCGAGATGGCGGCACGACATATTCAGCGACGACTCCTCTCGTTCATCCTCTCCAAACCTGCTTCCCCTCAGCCTCGCGTATTGTCTCGCCGAGGTAACCCACCTTTTTTCTCTGCTCCTTCGCCATTGATTCGTGTATAAATGTGTAATTTTTAGTTGTAATTTTGCTTTTTTGTGTGATAATAGTAGGTTTATGTTAATTTTTATTGTGCTCTTGTGTTTGTATGGATGGTTGATTAAGGTTTTTTATAGCCCTAGCTTATTATTTCATGGAACTGCTTTACCATAGGGGAATTCTTTTTCTGGGTTACTTAATTTTCCAATGGTTTCCTTATGGTCTTTAACTGAACCGATTGTGTAAAAAGTGTGTGCTACTTGGAAGGGATCTTTGCCTTTTGGTTTGATATCTATAAAGTGGCAAATGCTTGAGTTGGAAATTGAAGGGGTACTTTTAGCTTATTGGGGGGTTTTGCATAAGAGTGATGTGTCTAAGGACTTGATTTCTAGAGGAGTTGTTCCTATTCAAGCTAGAGAATGGCTTGATTAGTCTATTATCCAGTGAGAGTTTGAGGTGTGGTTTAAAATCATCAATATTGGAAAAGGGAATACCTGTATTGTGAGAATGGACATTGTCTATGGTTTACGTCATTATGGTATAGTTTAAAAGGGCTCATTGACGGTTGCTCTGTTCTCTTCCATAGTTCAGTATCATTAGCCCAAACAATATAATTATGATTCTTCTTCATACACCATTTTGAATTACTGTGTTAATTTTTATAAGAGAGGAAATGTCTAGGTAGCTTTTAGTGAATTATTATAGTCTATTAATAAATCAAGTTATGCTGCAACAAGAATTGCTCAGTATAGGAGCTGGAGCTTTTCAGGCTTTACACCATCTAGTTAAAAGTTACCATTGTGGAATTAGGGAAGATAATTTGTTGAAGGAGATTCATTGCCATCTGTACCTTTCGCGTTGTGGATTTTTGGCTTTGTGAATGCTTGGGCAGATCTAATCTGCATCTCTGTTTTATGAAATTTGTGGTGGATCTGATTAGATTGTTCGAGTGATTTCTTGTCCATGGTTGAGAAATTTGAGTCTGATTTAGTTTCTATTATGTAAGAGGTCATAGGGGAAATCGACGTTGCCCTTTAGCACTAGGATTGAAATTGCTTCAGGGATGTAGAGCGTCCCTGATATGCAAATTCATCCATCCCTCACTTTGTCAGCAAATTGGTTTTGTGTTTTTCCTTTGTTGATCATTTATGGATGGAACAATATTAATATCTTTGCCTTTTACATTGTACTCGATTTGGTTTTTGTAATTGTCCCTGTAATAGCCCTGTGTTCGTGATGACAATTCCAAAGGCTTGTTTCTCAACATTCGCAGTGGCCGCCTAAGAGCTTTCGCCTTTGCCGGGCTTGAGAGCATGTGCTGCTTTTATCCTTCCTTGGATGTCTGAAACTCCTGTTTGTTTTTTATGGTTTTATTAGCTCTCGCATCTGGATTAACTAATTTAAAATTCTGATAGAAATTCAGTAGTTTATATATGGTATGTAATTGTAATTTAGCTGTCGGGATTGTGATGTCTAGATAGGCACAAAACTTTTGTTGATGTTTTATGGGACTTTAATGTCTGGCCTGCTTGCATGAAATTGAGTTGCTGTCGGGATGAAGAAGTCCCTCACATTTCTTCCATCCTTTACTTAATCTGCATTTCTATTGTTATGTTTTGCTGATTATACGGGGGTGGAACATTTCGTTTTGTTTCTGTTTGCAGTGTTTTAGTTTTGTATTCTGATATGATGCTTAATCCTATATGCATAATTGTCTTGTAAATTCTTTTTGATTGGCGATTATGTTATTGGGGCAAGCTTATTCTGTTCTTGTAAAACCCAAAAGGGTTGTAATGAAATCGTCGGATATCAAGCACCATTGTTGCGGTTGAGTCTTCTTTGAAGACTCCGCAGCATTGGGTGGCGTTCTCATATTCCATCGCTCTGAGTAGTGGAGTTTCTACCATAATCTTCTGGGACTGGCCATGAGAGAAACATTTATCTACTCTTAAACTGTTTGATTATGATAGTTGATCTAGGTGTATAACTCCGTCTATGAGTCTTATGTCTTTAATTGACGATTATCATTATTGGGGCAAGCCAGTTCTTTGCTTGTAAATCCCAAAAGATTGTAATAAGATCATCGGACATCAAGCACCTTTGTTGCGGTTGAGTCTGAAGATTCCCGCTCCCGCATCAGGTAGCGTTCTCATATCCTATCGCCCTGGGTACTGGAGTCTCTGCCATTATCTCTTGGGAATGGCCATGAGAGAGACATTCCTTTAATTTTTCTAAGCTCTCATTTTGAAATCAAGTGTTCATGATTCCTTTTCTGAAAATTGTTGATTGGGTGCCCATGCTTGAAAGCTTGTGCTGTTTTTCGATGTCTGGAATGTGAATTCTTTTTGCATGCTTGAAAGCTTGTGCTGTTTTTCGATGTCTGGAATGTGAATTCTTTTTGCATGTATATGAAAGAATGTTCTATTGTATTATAGTGATCAGAAATCAAAATTTAGTTATGTTCTTAGAAATTTTCTGTTGCCTATGATGAAAATCTCATAAAATACCATCTGTTGGGACTGAATGGCCACTAAGGCCTTGCTGTCATTCTGCAATTCTGAGGCAATCGTCTTTATTTTGATTTTTTGATTTTTTTTTGTTATACTTGAAATATTTTTTTCTGGTTGCTTAACTATTTGAGCTGTGTGCTTATGGACGGTGTACTGCCGTTTAGTTTTTGTCCCAACAGCACTCTCCTCCTCCTTTTCCCCCTCTTTCTTCTTGTGCTGGTTAGTACTTTACTGTTTGCGAGTGAACAAATATCAACAGATGATCTATTGTGATTGCTCCTGCAGAAATTGTCTCCCAAAGTTCTCCTGCTGCAAGTTCAATCTTCCGAAGAGATGGTCATGGCAGGAGGGGGATTCAGACGATTGCAGAAGGCAGTAATCTGTCTGTTGAAGATAGCAGCAAAGTTCAGTCCGATTCCAGCTCCTCTAGTGCCGCCTCAAGCCCTGTTGCAAAGGTGACATCTAACTTAAAGATGTCCTCCACACATGATCTTGCAATGCTCTTCACGTGCAAAGTTTGTGACACCAGATCTGTGAAGACACTCTCTAGAGTATCATATGAGAAAGGGGTCGTTTTGGCCAGGTGTGGCGGATGTAACAATGTACACCTTATCTCAGATAGGCTGGGTTGGTTCGGAGAGCCTGGGAGCATAGAGGAATTCTTAGCCGAACGAGGGGAAGAAGTTAAGAAAGGAGATGCCGATACCATAAGCCTGACACTTGAAGATCTAGTTGGGACGAAGAAGCTTGATGCTTGAAGGAATTGCAGTCAAGACATTACTAGTTAGGTAGAGATAAGGCTTTTTTTAAAACTTGAATAGTATCTTTGTTAGTCTCACAACAGAACCGATTCAAGGCTGTGTTATAGACTTTTCAAAATCTATCGTGCTTCATCTTATCTTACTATTCAAATAAATCAATATGGAATTCTATAGCTTTGCCATATTAAGTACAAAAAAAATGCCAGTTCCCAACTAACCCAAGTTCGAGCATATAATTACAAAAATCTGGATTGTATATTAATGGGCAATGGTGAAAATGCAAAAGATAATATCTTTTTGTTATAGAAAGCATTTCGACTGGCAAAAATTCGTAGCTCTTTCGTGAAAAGTGCAGAACTCACGTTGGAATAAAAAGCCCTGAAATTGAGAAAAACGAACTTCGTACTTCTTACGTTGTTCAGAAGAGTATATATATTGTCTCTAATAAGACTCACCAAAATCAGTTAAACAAACTCGTATCTGCACATCATCAGAAACCTTCATCTTCAGCTGTTCCTTCTATCCCAATTACCGTAATGGCTATAGCAGGATATTATTGCCCCTCACTCAAAACCCATATCGCTCCTCTTTCACTTGTTAAATTGGAACCAAGCTTCAGTTGCGGATTCGTCTCTCTTCCAACCACTAGAAAACTGCCCCGAAAATCTTTTATTGGTGAGTCTTTTTGCTTCACTAATTATCTGTTTGGTTTTCACTAACTGGGGAGTTCTTGTAAGCTAGGTTCTGTATTTTAATATGGTTTAGTTTTCCGTTGATTGCATGGAACAATTGACCTTTTTGGGTTTCATAGGGACAACTGACTATGATTGTTAACGGGTGCTGTTTGTTAATTTTGATTGTTTCGTCCTTTCTATGTTACTTGTAATTGTCAAGTCAAGTCAGAAGTCAGGGCATTAATAGGCAATTGTGGATTAAGCGGTTGAGAATTCACTTCCTGGTGGCCATCTTATCATTCTGATGTTATTCTTTAATTCCACAATTATATGCTGTCCTTGTTTTTCAGTAGTAACGATTGAGCAGGGGAAAGAAGTGATCAAATACAGTCAACGAATTCACTAAATGAATGTGTACTGTTTTCTTGCTCTTCGAATTGAGTAAAGCATGAACAACACATGCTTACTGACGAGGTCTTACCTTTTTATTTCTGAACAGTCATGGTCAGAATGGTTACTGTTAGAGCAACCAAATTACGTTATCGTGCACCTATTTGTGTATCTTTTGACCAATTATTCATGTAGCAATAGATGCTTTTACATAAAATTTTGTTTGGATGGGAACATTTTTTGGATGGCTGAGCTTTTATATGCTATGCAGTCAATCAATATCCTTTTTGTTGAATAAAGCCTTAGTTTCTAATTTTCTGCTGCGTTGCCTTTACAGTTGGGATTTCCGAGATTTCTGTGTATGAAAGAACAAAGGTCATAACTTATGGTTATTGCATACTCTGTAGTTCTTATTGCTGCTGACATTAGCTTTTGTTGTTCCCTCCTGCAGTGCGATCAGTAGCTGCTCCTGTGGAAGTCACTGCAGGCTTTGATGAAATGGTTTCTGGAACTCAGCGTAAATATTACATGTTAGGAGGGAAGGGAGGAGTTGGGAAAACGAGTTGTGCTGCATCGCTAGCAGTGAAATTTGCAAATAATGGCCATCCCACTCTTGTGGTTTCAACTGATCCGGCGCATTCTTTGAGTGATTCTTTTGCCCAGGTTTGAGATGTGAAATTAATTCACTTACACTAGCCAGGTATTTAATAACCAATTTTTAGGCTCCCGATAATGTTTGTAACTAGATAACTATCCTTATCATGCTAGGATTTGACTGGAGGAGCATTAGTGCCAGTTGAAGGACCATATTCTCCATTGTTTGCCCTTGAGGTTTGGAGCAAAATCATTTCCAGCCTTTGTTTTCTTTGCCATTAGTTTTCATAGTTTATGAAGTGATCAGAAAAGCTAGAATAAATTCAATTCAACGTCCACAGATAAATCCAGAGAAAGCTAGGGAAGAATTTCGTAGTGCCAGTCAGACAAGTGGAGGAAGTGGAATTAAAGACTTCATGGATGGCATGGGCCTTGGAGCTATAGCTGATCAGGTAAAGTTCTTTCATTGGCCTTATTTTCTTTTTGAATAGCAGTACGCTTTTCAATGGAAATAATGGAGGATGCAGTGATAATTCAATATTTGTGGTACTTATTCAAATCAAGTTGATATGTTGTTCGTAGATTTCAAATCAGATCTGTAAGCGGGTGTCACAATTGATTGTGTATTCTGTCCTGCACCCTTCGCTTTTTGATCTGGCCCGTTATCTTTCATAGGCCGAAGATGTGTATCATCATGTATTTATTGAAGCAACAGAACTATTTAGTACTTTTTTTTTTTTTTCATTTTTTTGCTTCAGTTTCTTTTCCCACTACCAGATTGTAAATTAAAGTAGATTGTTTGCTCTTATGCCGATGAAGGAAAAAACTTCAGGTTGCCTGTGCCTTTTAACCAACCTATATATTTCTTGTACTTGTTATAGCTTGGGGAACTGAAGCTGGGAGAGTTGCTGGACACACCACCCCCGGGTTTGGATGAAGCTATTGCCATTTCAAAGGCATGCTCCGGAGTATCATGTTCTTCTCATGAATGTAGTTTTTTTCTTCGAATCAATCTCAATTTATCTAAATGTTTGATTTCTTACCAGGTTATGCAATTTCTAGAATCACAAGAATATAACATGTTCACGCGCATAGTGTTTGATACAGCTCCAACGGTGAGGAGACTTAAGATAAAATATGTTTTTTTTATTATATCATGAATCACCACTGCTAACTGATATGCTTCTCTTTTGAAAAACATTCTACACAGGGTCACACATTGCGGCTTTTGTCGTTGCCGGACTTCTTGGATGCATCAATAGGAAAGATATTAAAGGTACTAGTACGTAGAACATTATTCCTGAAATAGCAGGTCACATGATGAAGATAGGCTGTGACTTAATTTGTGGGCTCATGTTTCTTATCTCTACTCAACATCCTGGACGAATGGACTGGTTTTTGTTTGACACGAACTAAATAAGTAGTGGATTGTGAGTTTTAATGTGAGAACATAGGGGGTGTTCCACCAAGTTGGTATTCTTTTGTATCACTGTTTTAAATATGATTAAGGTTCAGAAATTGGCCAAGGTTTGGACTGGGTGCTTTTTGTTGTCAATCTGTCACCTGAATTTCACATCTAGGGTGTTGTATTTGACATTTTACCTGAAATTGCTTTTGATGTACTTTGCGGAAGATAGAATTAGTGCCTGTCGCTATCACCCTCCGTATCATATGTCTCAGTAGACAACTTAACTGTGTATTAGATCCTATGGTAGTTCAGCTGAAATGTCAAATCATTTTGATTTCCTACTGATGCTCCATCTGAATTTTTGCTGAAAGATGGAGATTTGAGAATACATGCTGGATATTTTGTACATAAACGTTGTTGATTGCCATCCTTTGGGGAACAGTTTCTAGAAACACTATCAGTAATGTTATCAACCTATATTTCCATCTTTAGTTTCTCGATGTCTATGTGCGTCTGTCTTTTACTTGCTAAATGTTCTTTCGTTGCCATCTTGCTTGCAAGTCTTGTACTCGTATTTCTGCATGTTGCATCTGTCTGTTGCTGTCTCTGAAGAATAATTTCATTCTGAAAATTATTGTTGCCCCTGATATTTGTTCCTCACGCACTTCTGCTCTTTGACAGCTAAGACAAAAAATATCTTCAGCTACTTCAGCAATAAAATCCGTCTTTGGTCAAGGTGACAACAACCAACAAGTAGATGCTGTAAGCGTCTTGGTCTTTACTAGCTATTAATAGTTTTGTTGATTTTGATCCTAACATTCTTTCATTTTTTTACTTTCCTGCCCTACATGTAGGCTGATAAATTGGAGCGACTTAGGGAGAGAATGATTAAAGTGAGGGAGCTTTTCCGTGATACAAACTCAACAGAGTTTGTTATAGTGACAATACCGACGGTATAAGCCCTATACATAGTCATGCAATTAACATGCTGTCTGGTAAAAGTTAACATTTATTTCCAATGACGTTTTTGTTTTCGTTGATTAACTTAATAAGTATGTTTAATTTTTCCATGATGACCCATGTTATGTCATTTCCTTTCATCTATTGCATTTTCCTCGTTGATGTGTTATTTTTAGCCTGCAATTTAGAATGCTGAAGGAGATTCATTAGTATCCTCGTTTTTAGTAAAGCATTTTAACAATAGTGCATGAAATTGGGTGTTCACGCGCTAACTATTGCCTTATCAATTTGCTTAACAATCAGGTGATGGCTATAAGTGAATCATCAAGGTTGTCTGCTTCCTTGAAGAAAGAAAGTGTTCCTGTTAAGAGGCTAATAGTTAACCAAGTGATTCCACCATCAGCATCCGACTGCAAATTCTGTGCAATGAAAAGGAAGGTATGTGAACTTTCCTTTGTTCCCATGGTAGACTTTGTAGCATCAGGACTTTGGATATTATGATGCTTAAAATCATTCAGTTACAATTTTGGCAATGAGTTTTTATGTGATTTTTGGTTATCATATCATATTGTCATGTCATTAAGGGGCAAAAAGAATTGTTCACTTGCATTATTGAATGCACCTCATTGTACTCCTGTGGAAAAGTTCAGAATGATTTTGCCCCAATTTTGCCACAAGGTAGTGTTTTCTTTTAAGAACTTTTACCCTGTATCTAAGATTGCGTGAATGTAGAATGAATGTGTGATACCCTTGCCCATAGGCTTCTGCCTTTAATAAGTCTTAGCATTATGCATGATGTGAGAAATAGTATTGTATCCTTTCTCTTCTTCAGTAGCAGTATCGTGGGCTTAGTTGCAAACACCTGACTGTTAAGAACACTGTTCTGAATTTGGAGCTGACCGGTAATATGGTGGTCCCTGTTACTAGTTTGCTTTCTCATTTAATTGTGGTCTGAGTAGGCTATATAAGTTAGTGTTTAGGTTCCTTTTATTCCTCTTTCAAAAATTTGATCAATTGATTGCTACTTGCAGGATCAAATGCGTGCACTCGACATGATTAAAAGTGACCCCGAACTTTCCAACTTGATAGTGGTGCAAGCACCCCTTGTTGATGTAGAAATCAGAGGTGTCCCAGCTCTTCAATTCCTCGGTGATATTGTCTGGAAATAGATATTTGCATTTGTTGGCAGCTAAACTTTGGCAAAGCTCTTTTGCAAGAAATATACAGGTACCTTTCGGCTTTTGTTTGAGCTTTTTTCATTATGACGTCTTTTTTGCTTTTGTCTTTTTCGGGACTTGTGTTAACTTCTATGGCTGGCCTTCTTCCTTTTGTTTTTCTAACCTTGTTCTTCTATGGCAGTATTAGTAAATGTGCTCTTTGTCTTGTGATGCTATCTTCTATTCTTCTTACCACCTTCCGTTACCTTCTCTTTGGGGAATCTAAGGGTTTTAACTGGAGCCAGTGTGGTACGGGCAACAATTGATGCAATGTTTTTAGAATGTGTCCACTTGTTTTTAAGCCTTCCACCCTATTGATGTGAAATCATGATGGAGTCTGTTTCCTCTTTGCAGAAACATAAACATTTTGCACATTTTTTCTGTTGTGTCTTAGTGGTGATATCTTGCGTGCTTTTTACATTTCTTATTTGATTGTTGACAGCCATTCTGGACACTGTGACATTGCAAACATCGTCGCTATACTCGGGAATCTCCACAATCGGATGGACTGAGATGAATGGATACACTGGTCCGGCAGCCAAATATGACAATGATGCAAGTTAACCTGTACAAAGCAATTTGCGGGGTTGTAGCCGTCTGAAGTATAACCGGTAAATCTTACTTGTAAATTGGTGGATAGACAAACAAGAAGCTACTAGTTATTCGACTTTGAAAACTACACATCCATGTTTTTGGAAGAATCAATATGGTGAATATGCATCATTCATATGTGGCTGTTAGCCGTTAAGAGGGGCAGTTCCCCTCCAGTAACAAATACAGAATTTTGGTGAGTTGAACAATTAGAATTTTCTGACAGTATGTAATCATCAAATCCTAGTGGAGCGTTTTCCATCCTTTGCTAGATAGATGGAAGTCATGGAAAACAAACCGAAGGGGAAACAGTATTACTTTTATTCTTATTCCATCCAGTATATATCTGAAACCAGTGTCATTAATCCGGATTCAATCCGAGTAGGTCTTTGTTTCTGAAAGTAGGCTAGTAAAGCTACACTTTAATGGCATCCGGAATTAACGTTTGCCCTCCCAAATTTATGCAATGGATGTCTGGCCAACGCAAGCGCCATTGTTGTGATGACTGAGGAGGTCCTGGGATTCGATTTTCAACATCATTGTTAGTGTTTCATGCGTGTTAGTTACATTTGGATTATGTGAATCATGACTTTTGGGACCTCACTAACAAAGGTTATCTTTAAGCCTAAAAAGTCCATTCGGGTTTTCGTTACCTTCCTTAACAAGTGCTTGTTAACTCACCTGAGAACCTCACCAGCAAGCTAATAATGTATGCTTTCCACGATCTTGTCTGAAATTAACATCTTCAGATAGAGGGTACCTAGGAGATGATCCCTTTACGAAGAACACTTAGAGCTCCATTTTCATGCGCTTTGCTACTTGATAAATTTTGTTTTATCTTATTTATTTAATGACCATTGACCCCTGAATTAGATTCCTTTTTGTCTGATAGAAAAGTCTATTTTATAGTGTTTTATAGAAAGGAATAAAACCTTTTTAAGGTTTTCGAAGCATGAAAAAAGTTTGAAAAATAACCATAATGAAAAGGGATTAGTTCACGAGGGGGGGTCAAATTAATCCTGCAAGTCAGGACAATAACTTAGAAGTATGGTCACTTATATTTATGCCCATGCAGAAATGTTACTCCCCCCAAGAAACATCCTAGGATAGGATCACATTCATTATATTATTTTCATTTAACAGAGATAATACTCCTCCAGTCCTTATTATAAGATATTTTAATTTGTTCTAAGTTTGTCCTAAGTTTTACTTATCATGTTTTTTTAATTGAAATAAAAATCTTAAAAAACAATTCCTAATAATTATGAGAACACGACAAATGTGAAAATATATTTTTAAAGTTTTTTTTCTCCAATTAAAAATGTATCTTAAGTGAAACTTAAGACAAAATCAAAATGCCTTATAATAAGTACCGAAGGGAGTATATTTTTTTTTGTTTTCTTATTGCGTGTGATGATCACCCAAATTAGTAGTATGACAAAAGAAACATCCTATTTTTGTTATATATATTATTATACCTCATATAAATAATTACTGATTTATCGTTTATTAATTATTAGTAGAAGTTACTGTAAATTTATGCATGGATGTATATTGAAAATGAGCTATATGTATGCAAAGAAAAGTCGCTTTGCATGCAGTTGACTTATCCCAAATAGTCTACAAAAATTTTAGACAAACAAAAAGAAGACTGAAAAAGGGATATGGAAAAGGGAATCCTATCCCCAATTCCTCTTCCTTCTCCACAATAGAGAAAGAGAGGCTATGAAGGATTCCCTTTCTTTGTTGATAGTGGATCTTTATTGATTGCAACTGTGATCAATTGAGAGGGGCTTAACGGATTCAAATTTTTATATCTCTTCCCATCAGCACATACTCCTTTCGTCCTATAATTATTGTCCAGTTTGTACTAAAAATAAAATTTTAAATTGGACAATAATTTTAGGACAGAGAGAGTAAGAATTATGTCTTCATCTCTTTTTGCCATATTAGATTAGAAGAAGATTTATTTTATAAGCAAATGAAAATTTAATTGTTGGGAGGCATGTGTGGTCTCAAAAGGTGGGAATGAAATGAAAAGGGTCACTTTCTTGGTTACTAGTTGATGTTTTCTTGTGGGGAAAAGGAATAAACTTTTTTCATCTTAAAAAGATGAGGGTATTTTTTTTTTTTTTCCTTCTTCTCTTTTAAAAGGTTGTCTTTTTAAGGGTAGAGTTTTATTAAAGGTCGAGTGGGAAAATGAAGGAATACAGAACTCCAACCCCACTCATGGACAGATTGGTAGAGCTTTCTATCAATATTCAACTTCCTACCTGCGAAGTTTCAATAGAGAAGGGTCATTTTTCCTTCCAATAAAAAAGATCATACTCCCTCCAATTCTTATTATAAGACATTTTCTTAATAAAAAATAAAAACTAAGTAAAAGTTAAGACAAACCAAAATACCTTATATTAAGGATCGGAAGGAGTATTATTCTACTCTTTCCATTCCAAAATATAGATCGTTTTAAATATGAAAAAATATTTCAAAATATAAGTCGTTTTAAGATTTCAAGACAAATTAAAGACTAACTTCCTAATTTTACCCCCAATAAATGATGTTAATCACTTTTCATTTAGTATTAGTTATAGTTCCAAAACAGTTAATGATGGATAAAATAGAAATTTAACACACAAATTAATCATTAAATGATTGTCTCCTTAGTTTAAGTAGAATCTAAAGTGACTTACATTTTGAAATGAAAGAAATATTTTAATTAGTTCATCAAAGAGAAATTTTACTTGCGTAGCGTTAATTTTATGATTCTTAATTTTTTGAGATTCTACATTTCTCTAGCAACTTGTTACTACTTCCATTCCAGAAAAATAATCCACATTAAGTTTTCAAATTTAATACTAAAAACAGTATAAAACTCAAAACTCAATGTGGACTATTTTTTGGGACGGAGGGAGTATGTTGTTTCACCCTAAAGTGATAGAAGTATTGGACTCCATCATGTTAAAAGAAAGGGTGAAGTTTCAAGTGGGTTATTAATTTGTGTCCATTTCTTCGTGCAATATTCTTCACCAATACTTTCAAGTTTCAACTGCATGCATGGAGCTGAATCATTGTATGTCTCCCATTAGATATGGCAGATATGATGAATAAGTGGAAGTATGATATTGCTACCCACTAAACTTAAACCAAAAACAAAAAAAGAAGAAGGAAAAAAGGTCAACTCTAGAGCTTAGCTAAGACGATAAATGATGATGCAAAAAATATGGTTAATTATTGCAAGAAGATATGGCTCGGGTAGATTTGCACTTTTGGTTCCTTTGTTCCATCAGTTCGAAAAGGAGAAATTAAAAAGGAACTTTTTGGTTTAGCTTTTAATTAAAGAGATCATTTTCTCTTTGCCCTTCTTCATAAATCTAATTGCCACTAAAAATGAGCATTGTATTCCTTTAAAAACTTTTTCAAATTTTTTTTATTGTCAGAGCAAAAATTAGAAAACGGTGATCCAAAATGTCTCGACGTTGAGATACATCCAATATTCAAAGTATTAATAAAAGTTTTAAAAAATGTAGTATTTTCTAATTTCTGCATTGACAATATAATAAGAATTTATTCTTCTTTTTCGTATGTTAATCACTTGCAAAAGTTAATAAATACTCCTATATAAATGACAATTCCTTCTAAGATTAAAATCATGTCTTGAAAATAAATACACTCATCTAATTCAAAATCAGACTTAGATTAAAGCATATAAAGTATGTTAAAAAAGGTTTTTGGCGCTAGAAAACATAGAGAATTTTGATGTTTGGTCAGAAATGTGGACAACTTATTCGGTTTCATCTGTCACAAATGTATACAGGTGTATTATAGACATAATTGACTTGTATATCTCAAGAGGTCTCAGGTACAAACCCCGCCAGGAGCACTTTAAATACTGTTTATGCAAGTTTATAGTCAGGTGGCTAGAGGCAGTCCCAGATGTCAGCTTGCAGCCCAAGAAGGCGTGTAACAGAGACGTATACGCGTGGAGTCTCTCCCTAATAATAGTATCCCTTTCCCTCAGTAAACGTTACAAATGTAATAACCTACGATATCTATATAATGTTATATATATAAAAAAACCCACATAGTTGACTTTTGGACATATGATCCACAGGATAAATGCTTAATAGTTAATAGCGATACTTTGAATTAATTAAAACATATTCCTAATTCCTTTTGCATATGCTTTTGTACTACAATTTTATCCTTTTTTTTTTCCAACCCAAATCCCCAACGCATATTTCTTTAATTTTCTTGTGCAGAATTTATTCCTGAAGAGCGAATCTCCCAGCCAACCAGGCCTTTGCCCCACAAATTCTGGGCGACGACTATACGAATTGTGCACTCAAGCACATTATGTTCCGACTTTTATTTACTTAAATCTTTTCCAGAATCACAAGATTTGGTACCAAAATTTTTATTATTATTATTTCTCTTTGATGCCAGTCCGAGGACCGTGGTACAATCGCGGCATTTTATATCGGTATACATTATATACATACACGATATACTCTTCCGGTCTCATTTTTTAATACATATTTATTATATTGTGGTATTAGTGTTTCAAAACATGTATGAACTTGAAATCTTCAAATTAAGAATATTCATATTATACCAAACCAAAATGACCTTGTAAGCTGGTAACAACCTAAACAAAGCGTGTGGGACGACATATGTATGTACCCAGTTAATTGAGGCGTGTCTTATAATAATCTGTAACATTTAAGTTAATCAACCTTAGTACTAGTAGTATTATACATGGGTTGGTAATGAAGGTGTAAAAGCTGGAAGGAATGAAGAAAATACGTATATAGATATGTAAGCATTTGTTTGTTGGATTGAGATTGTCTTTTATTGAAAAATGGAACTTTGTTGACCTTACTGAAATTGGAATTACGAGTTGTCCAGGCATGGTTTTGGTCTTATGAAAAATCCAAATTGCAAAATACTAGTGGTATAAGAGAGCTTGCAAATGTTGAACAAATGGAAGTAGGTTACGAGGTTACAAGTCTTTTTCAGTTTTTTTTTTCTCTAAATAAGTTGGTAAATATTTTTTACAAAAATCAATTCTGTTGCAGGCCAACTTATGATTAAAAAACAAAACAAAAAGAAATAAATAATGGGAATAAGATGGAGGGTCTATTCTTGCCTTTTGTCATTTCTTTCTTCTTCCTTTTGGTTAATCTTGGAACAAGTTTTTCCTGTACATTAATGGGACATCGGAAGCTACAACAACAAGATGTTGTTGAAGGTTTCTTTGCACAGCTAGATATTAATAACAAACTTGAATCTTTCTTAAAATGATGTTTTCGTTTATTATATCTTAACGAGTTAAACCGAAACCTGTTCTGACATTAACGAGAGTTTTATTTCATATCAAGATCATAAATAAAAAGTCAAAAATAATTTGTCTAGTGGTTGGACTAAATTATACTCCCTCCATTTTGAAATATATGTTGTTTTAGGGTTTGATGAATTTTTTTTTAAATATATGTCGTTTTTACAAATCGAGGCACATTTGACCACTTTTTTCCAATTGTTACCCTTGTGTTGGAAATGAAACAGTATTTATAATTAATTTCTATTGGTTTGTGACGAGTTGTATAGAAAATAAATAAGGGTATTTTTGTATTTTAACTACATTAATTAATGTATTCTTTGGTTTTAATAAATTATCTGGAAAGACATAATAAAAAAAATGGAGGGAGTATCTTTTTCGATCTTATTTATTAGGAGATGCATATTTATGCTAAATAAGATCAAAGGGGTATGATTTTTCTAATTAAGTTGGCTTGCTGCTAGTGAGCCTACTATATTTAATAGTAGTTGTTTAATTTCTTCCATCAACACGGGCAGTTGTAATTTACCTTTTCTTAAATTCTCGAAATTATTTTAAAGTAGGTAGCCCGGCTGTACTATATAATCTGGAAGGTATAGACTTAAAAATTAAAATACTCTTTCATCGTAAGCTCGCTGCTAATTATATTTAATTGTTCTGGTTTGGCAAAATCCATAAACTTAGGAAGAATTTATGGATCGTCAATCACGTGTTTTTGCTCATATACTAATAAACTAAATCAAGAACAATTCCCATAATTTTCAAAACTTGGGTTCAGTCAAAGATTTGTACCGTATATCATATTATGACCATCTCTATTTTTCAGAAAAACGGCAACAATTAATGTTGGTTGAATTATACAAAAATGGAAGTCGGTGATCATCATCAAGTTGTTCACTTCAACCGTTCAACGCTCACCAGCCAATTGTCGTTCTTTTTGCAAATATCCTCTTTTGTAAACCTTTGACCGCTGAATGCCAAGTATGTCTAATCTAAATTATACAGTAATCCTTCCGTCACGGTTTAATAAACATTTACAATAAAATTGACTATTAAGATCGATTAGAGAAAAAAAAAAAGTATGAATTCATTTTCAAACTGTCACGTACATGTAAGGAGCTAATTTATTACTTCACATTGAAAGTTCCTTACATTAACACAGTTAGCGTAATCGAGAAATTAATAAGAAATAATTATATACGTGTTAAACTTACGAGTTGCCAGTAACAAATTGTATACTGATATGTAATGTAAATCAGACTGATGCAATTATTTCAAGCGTGGATGATCTCCTTCGTAGAATTTTTACCCTTGGTGAAAAGTTTGTTGGAAAATTTCCAAATAAGGAATTAGCCATTTGAGAAAGCTACCAACGAGAATGCAAAAGTCAACAAGGTTTGAGAAATGAGATATGAGAACGCCAGCTAAACCCTAAGACCCAAACAAGATGATGATGGCGCACGTGTGGGAGTACTTATCACCTCATGTGGGAAAATTCATCATTAGAAAAATCAAGGAAAAAAAAATGCCAAACACCGATTTGACAATTTTGACCCATCAATCCGGAAATTTAATTTTAAAAGGCTGTGGGTGGAACAAGGGTCCCATTTAGGGTTTTCATTCTTCTGAGTCAGACATCCACAAAAGAAGAAAAATTATGTGCATTAGGCATAATAAATAATTAGGATTTCTAGAAAGAGGGGTTTTATACCCCCTAATCCACTTTCAATTTTATTGTTAGTATATTTTTTTTCCCTTTTGTCAATTAAAAGTATTAAACACGCTTGATTAGTTTGATTTCAGCAGATTGGATGTCACTCTTGGGCTACAGAGCAATGAACAATACTGCTTCCAACTTGGCCAATAGAGATTGATGATTTTGTAAAGAAGTGATTATGAAAGTAGCATTTTGTCAATGAAGTTGATTTAAACCATGCCGAATCGGACAAGAGTTACCATCTCCAATGTACATTTATATCGAAAAATCTAACAACAGTATCTATAATTTTATATCGAAAAATTTATATGTATATGTTTTTTTGTCCATCGGACGGGTCTAACATCTAGTTTTCATTATAAGGGAAGTATCAAGTATCGAGTTTAATCAGACAAGGGAGATTTAAAAGCAATTTTATATTTTCCTATCGAAAATAAATATAGTTAGTGTTAAAATAATTATGTAATTTCAATTAAGTTGAAAAAGACAGTTCTACTGTCACATGAGAGGGAAAAAAACAAAGATTTTTTTACCCACTCCCAGAAAAGGAAGAAAAAGGAACAGCAAAAAAAAGTTAAAAAAAAAAAAATAATGGGAAGAGAGAGAGAAAGGTGAATGAACAGAGGTCAAAACGCACAACTCAAAAGTGCCCATATTCTCAAACTCACTCAACCCAATAATAACAATAAACAACATTAACAAACAAACAAGTCGTCTGAACTCTCTCTCTCTCTCTCTCTCTCTCACTTCTCACGTTTCATTTCTTCTTCTTTAGATTCATTCAATCCCACCACACTCTTCTTCTCTAATGGCCGCTGGCCGCCAACAAAATCCAACTACAAGAAGAGTAAAATCTTTATTAGCAATCCGCACAAAACCCACCTCTCCTTTCTCTCTTCTCTCCGCAACCCATCTTCCATTTTCATCCTTACCTCCAATTTGCCCTTCAATTTTGTTTTCTTGATTTCCGAGCTCCATCTTTCTGCAATTTGCCTTCTTTATAGGACAAAGGAGGAAGAAGTAACAATAAAGCTTATTACTTTTTTTTCTTGCTTTCCGAAGAAGGGGGAGAAAAAAAAAATCCAAAATTTTTTTTAAAGGAGGGAGCTTTTGTTGTTCTGGTTTTGTTTGAAAATCTTGGTGTATTTTGCTGGGTTTCAGTGTGTGAAAGATGGTTAGTAAATGGTGGAAAGTTAAGGTGGCTCTTGGGTTGAATACTTGTCTTTTACCTCCAACAACAACAACAACTAGGAGGACAAGTGGTGATGAGTTGTCTCCTCCGCCTTCAGAGAGGCATTCCGACGCCGCACTGCTGTCTCCGGTCACCGAAGTTAGCCTGCAAGCTTCTCCTCCTACGCCGGTTTCTGGTGGTCCTGGGTTAAGGTGGTCTAAGAGCTTGAGCAGGTCTTCAAAGGTTTCTTTCTTTGAGCTTCGTCTCCGTTTTTTTTCTTTCTTTCTTTGTGTCTCTTTTGCGAAATTTGTGATTGGATTTATTTTTGTGTTGTCACATATAGAGTCCTGAGATTTTAATTGAATTTTATTGGTCCAAATATGGTTGGGAACATTGATAAATAGGAGTTATTGTTTTGTTTTTTTGTTTTTTTGTTTTTTTTAATTATTATTTGAGCAGTGTGTTTGTGGGCTGAGAAGATGGACAGAATGATGAATATAAGTTGGGATTTTCTATAATATACTACGATTAGTTGGAAGATGGAACTAATTGAGTAATTTGACTTTCTTTATATAAAGTTGATTTGAGATAAAATGAGAAAAGAGGATGCTATGGTTAGAATGGTCAAGATGCCATTTTATTCCCTTCAAAAGCAGAGAACAAATCAGCATAAGGTTTTGGGTTCCAACTCCTATGTGTCAATTTTTGGTAACAGTTAAGTTCTGGAATAAATGCAAGTAGACTCTAGAAAGAGGTTAACTGACTTTTTTGATGATTAAAAATTGAAATTCTGTTGCTGCTTTGGATTTTTGAAGAGATATTACTTATGAAATTCATGCTAGTATCTGCAAAACAATGGTTGCTTGTAACACTGGATAGCATTACAGCAAAGTAAATGTAATTTTTTTTTAATAAAAGAAAGGTGGTTTTTGGTCAAGAATTTTAGCTTCGTCTCTATTAACATCTCCAATTCTCTGTAATGGAATGAATCTTCTGTGTGTCCAACCTGGATTATACTGATTCGCTCACATGGAAGATGATACCTTTGGCGTTTGCTGAATGTCTTGTACTTCTTGAGTTTTGTATCAGAATATTTTGGTATAAAGTTTGTTAACAGAAATTCTTTGTGGATCTGCTTTAATGATTTGCTTTAATGAATTTTCCATGTGTTTGAGAAAATTTGCTACACTTTCCAATAAATAGTTGCATTGGTCAATGTCTAAACAGATGCGGTTCTTGTGCCTATGAGTTATGATTTTATTGTATTTCTTTGATGTTACTATCTTATCTATTTGTTTCTCTTTGCATCATATTTCTCATTACCTAATTCTATCGTATTGGGTGACTTGCAGAAAACTTGTTCCATTTGTTTATCATCAATGAAACGAGGAGATGGTCATGCCATCTTCACTGCTGAATGTTCTCATTCTTTTCACTTCCACTGTATTGCTTCCAATGTGAAACATGGAAACCAAGTTTGCCCCGTGTGCCGAGCGAAATGGACGGAGATTCCCCTGCAGTTTCCTAGCCTGGATCCTCCACCAGGAAGGGCTAGAGTTAACCCAGTTGATTGGCCCCAGCAGAATGCTTCCATGACTGTAGTCCGACGGTTACCTCCACCTCGTCCTAATCCTAGGCAGAATCCTACTTCTTTTCAGGCTCCTGAGCCAGCTGTCTTCAATGATGACGAGTCTTTGGATCATCAGTCTCCATCATCAGAGAGGAACTCCGCAAACAAGAGTTCTTCCGAAAATGAACCGAGAACCATGCGAGTGAAAACATACACAGAAGTTCCAGCTGTTCAACAGTCCAGTGCTCCTGATAACTTCGCAATATTGATTAATCTTAAAGCCCCGGCACCAACTTCTACTTCCAGCAGAGACCAGGAAAATCCAGCCTTAGTTTCCCAAACATCTCGTGTGCCCGTTGACCTTGTTACGGTTCTTGATGTAAGTGGCAGCATGGCTGGTACCAAGCTTGCACTGTTAAAGAGGGCTATGGGGTTTGTAATACAAAATCTTGGTCCCAATGACAGGCTTGCAGTCATTGCTTTCTCTTCCACAGCTCGACGTCTATTTCCACTGCGTAGGATGTCTGAATCAGGAAGGCAGCAAGCACTGCAAGCTGTTAACCTTTTAGTCGCAAATGGAGGGACAAACATTGCTGAAGGCTTGCGTAAGGGGGCAAAGGTGATGGAAGATCGCAGATATAAGAACCCTGTTGCCAGTATCATATTGTTATCTGATGGACAGGACACATATACAGTCAGTAATGCTGTCAGCAGTCAACAGCAGCCAAATTACCAACTTCTTCTTCCTCTCTCAATCAACAATGAGAAGAGTTCAAATTTTAAGATTCCGGTGCATACTTTTGGGTTTGGGGCAGATCACGATGCTTCATCAATGCACTCAATTTCTGAGCTATCTGGAGGAACCTTCTCCTTCATTGAGACTGAAAGCGTGATCCAAGATGCATTTGCCCAGTGCATTGGTGGCCTTCTAAGTGTTGTGGTCAAGGAGCTTCAGGTGAATATTGAGTGTGTTAATTCTGGAGTTATTCTTAGTTCTTTAAAAGCTGGAAGTTATCCAAATCAAGTATATCCAGATGGACGTATGGGTAATATTGATGTTGGGGACTTGTATGCTGATGAGGAGAGGGATTTTCTGGTTACAGTTAATGTTCCAACTGAAATTTCAAGCAGTGAAACTGCACTGTTGAAGGTGAGATGTGTTTACAATGATCCTTTGACCAAAGAATTGGTGACAGTAAGAAGTGAAGAAGTTAGGATTAGAAGACCTGAAGTGGCTGGACAACAAGATGCATCTGTTGAAGTTGATAGGCAACAGAACAGGCTACAAGCAGCGGAGGCTATGGTGCTCGCACGAGCTGCGGCCGAGAAAGGAGACCTGTCTGGTGCAGCATCAATCCTTGAGCATTGCCGGACGAAGTTGTCAGAAAGTGTATCGGCCAAATCTCATGATCGGCTATGCCTTGCCCTTGAAGCTGAGCTGAAGGAAATGCAAGATAGACTAGCCAGCAGACATGTATATGAGGCGTCGGGAAGGGCCTATATCCTTTCTGGATTGAGCTCACACTCGTGGCAGAGAGCCACAGCACGAGGTGACTCTATGGATGGTTCAAGCCTTGTTCATGCCTATCAAACCCCATCAATGACTGAGATGGTTACTCGGTCGCAGGCTACACTACTGGGTAGTCCTTCAACACAAAGGCTCATTCGACCTGCATTATCGTTCTCATCGCTTCCAACTCCAAGGTGACCATAGCTGTTCTGCATTGGAGGGTATACAGATTAGTTGGGCTATTGGTGTTTCTTTCTCGTTGTTGCATCTGAGGGGGATTCCGTTTTGGTTGGGGTAAACCGTAGAGGATAGAAACAGTTTTGGGTGTTAATGTGTAACTAGTTAACTACGCAAAGCAATAAAAAGTGGGGGTGAAAAGTGGAAACAGAATGGGTTATGGTAAGGAGTAAACCCAACTGGGATTTATGAATTTTTTTTGTTGCTTTATCTTGCTATTGTGCTATCATTGGGGGTGGTGTACATACAGACGGATTTCATATTAAGGAGAAGGGGGTATAGTTTTGTAATTGTTGGAGATTTGTGAACTGTGCATCTATGGTATAAGAAAGTGATTCTTTTCACAAAAGTTTTGTTCGATACGGTTGAAGAGTTCCTTTTACTTAAAATTTATTTTTTGCCTTTTGTATTTGTTTTCAAGAAATTCGATGATATACTCTCCATGTCCCAAAATTATTATCCAGTTTGAGATTTCACTTTTAGTACAATTTGAATTAGAAATGAAAAATCAAACTGGACAATAATTATGGGAATCATCACTCATTTCCATTTTGCCAGATGCTGCAGAGTTCAGCGTAGTACGAAGAGTTAAATATGACATTGGTGCTTGCTTCTCAAATGCTTGAATTGTGTGGCTCTGATTTATTTTAGCCATGTAAACACTAATGAAATTGAAAAGCAGTAGCACCAATCTCAGCAATAATTCAATTTTCAATTCCCCAATTGACTTTAACATATATGAGGATTATAAAGACGACCCGTTTCTGTGTCACTTTTTGTCACTAGGGAGTGGTCCATATAACATAAAAAGCTCAAGCAACTGGTACCATCACCTTTTGACCTCTTTCAATCTTTTCATGCAATCCTTACTTTTGTTACATCTTTTTGTTTTTGCAGAAAGATGCTTTCTCTGTGCAGCATACATCATTGGCCATACAAAACAAGAAAAGTCTAGGTAGCAAATAGTCAATAGGCAATTCATTTTTTGCTTCAAAATCAGGCTAATAAGTGAATTACCAGTATTTTGTACATTGAATATACACCATGGCGGATCACATGGAAATTTATACCAACTGCGGATTTAAATTCAGTGTGAACAAGCTTGATACAATTAAATAATCAAAAGAGATGGTCTAAAACTTCTCTCCGAGTACATTGTCAACTGACAGAAGATAAATCTATAGGTGCAAAATTTGGAAAGGATGCTCATGAAGAACTTTTAGCTTCATGTGGTCTCCTTAGGTTTAGGGATCTTTTTATACTCATAATTGTCAATATCCACCTTCGATTGCAAAGCCTGTGGTTAAGAAAAATATCAGCGAGAGATTCTCATACGCATACATTTTTTTTTACCAATCATCACATCCCCTTAAAACTTCCTGAAGGATTACACATACATAAGAGTGAGTTGTGCACAAAAATACACATACCATTAGCTCCTCTTCTAGCGAAACCTTCTTAGGGTTATATGCCCCTACTGGCCCTGTTCTCGATAGTGCTTTCTTTGCCTCAATGATCTCCCATTCCTGATCATCCTTCACTTTGGCAATATCCTTGCTGCATGAAATTTGGAAAGTTTGGATTTCAAGTGAAAATTTTGCAAGACTTGCAATATACTTAACGGTTAAATGACACCATCAGTCCCTAAACTTGGTCTCTTGATTCTATTGTTGGTCATCTTTAAGAAAACTTCAACAGTGAAACCATGAAAACCAGTATAACTGAATTGAACATATTGCATTCGGCCAAGTTCAGTAGCTGTAGCTACAGACCTGGTCTTGTGTCATCAGCTAACAACAGATATGGTCTGATTTTAAGTAAAAAATAACCAATTGCAACTGCACTAAGATAGGAGGCTAAACTGCCATTTTCCAAAATAAGGAACCAAAAGAAATCAATGGAATGAAGTCACGTTTCCCACCTTCCAGCATTATCAAACCAATTTCAGACAGGGCCTCAAGGTTTAATGACATTTTCATGACCATAGAACTTGAATAGTCAACAATGAAAAAGAGGCCTTGAGTAATACAAACAAACCATAAGAGTAGTAACATAAAACTGGTAGCAGTTACACTAGATATGAAAGGACCTTGAAGCAAGACAAACTAGCTCCCACAAACTCAGTACCCATAAAACACCAGCCCATCATGGAAATTTACAAAGAAGAGTTGTGATTTTGAATAGATGATTCTGAAATATGAGACACAACGACATGATCCCAAGCAAAAAGATCTTTGATATCCACGAGAAATGTAAGCGAAGATGGCATCGATAAAACTTAATCAGAAAAAGAGTAATGTAGTAATGAAATTCAAAGTTTCATCAGCAATTCATTAAGGAAATTGAAATGCCAGTTTAAATACTTTTATCAGGATATCTCAAACCATGTCAATCAAATTGCCACTAATATGCCAGCTTTAAAACTCTACTTTTCACTAAAAGTTGAATAATCATTTACCAGAAACGAGCACTTCAATATGGTAAAATCATACATACATACATACATCACAAATACAATACAAAATCAAATAAAACCCCATGATCCTTACAATCCAAAACCCAACGAATAAATACTAGGACAAACGCTAACACTTTCTTCAAGAGCTAGTTCGAATGAAATGAAAAGTCTTTGAAACAAAATAACAGTAATTAAGCACCAATCAATGGCTCTGACCTGCCTTGAAGCATATGGCCAAGACCAATCGTCCCAAGAACAGTTAGTGAAATCATCGGAAGGCCATATCGTATAAAGGGCGAGGTCCTCCCTATTCGTTTAAACCTGGAAGCTGGTATTTGAAGCTTTGGCGGAGATGAAGCTGTAAAGCCATTGCCTTTCGTCGATTGATCCATTGGCGCCGCCTCAATACTTATCATTTCATCTATTAGCCTATATATTTCAAGCCAACTAAAACCACTAATACTGAGCGGCAATTATAAGAGTGGAATTTTCTTTGTGGTGAAGGAGAAGACGATGAAGTGCAGCTTTGTCTAAACTCTAACCTTTTATTTTAACCTAAGCCCCAATTGAGATTTGGGAAAAACGAAATTAAAAAAGATAAAAATAAAAAAATAAAAAAATTTTCTAAATTCAATCCAATTTTTCCCAGAAAGGGCAGATGAATAATATTACAAAATTACAATTAAAGTCTTTGTACTTTTACATAATTATTATCGAGTCCAAAGTTTATGTCAAAATTACACCGATGATGAACTTCTCTTTTGAACTTCATTTTTTCTAGTGAAAATAAAAACATAAGGCACCAAATTGGTAGTGAAATGACATAATGACTGATGTGACAAGAACCGCTCTTTATTATGCTATTAATTATAGAGAAAGTAATATATAGTTTTCTTGTCTTTTTATTCATCATTATTCTATTCCACTATAAATCGTTATTATCTGTATCATTGCTTAAAGTTAGTAATACATATGTATCATTGCTCTTAAAGTTAATAGAACCGTTAACGCTACAATTGATTAATTGATTATCCCTTTTCCGCATTTGGTTTGTTTTGATGCATTGTTGTTTGTCTGCTTCTTTTTTTTCATTTTTTATGGATGGAGCTAGTATAAACACCAGATATCGAAGGACTTATGAATTCAATTTGTTACCTATTGTGCATCTCATGCACGTTCAAGTTGATTTGCTTCTGCAGTCACTAGTATGGTTTGATCAAATCTCTGTAGTTATACTGCCGCCAGAGACGTATGAGTAATTTCACCTCTATTTCCTCAGGCATAAACGTCCACAAATTAATTAATTTTATAGACCGTAAAAAAAAAAAAAAAAAGTGTGATGAGAAAGCTCAATAATGATGATTTATTCAGTTTGAAACTGGATCCATGCTCGAACCATTTGAAAACATAGAGAGCTTTTCGGTGCACCATTCAGATGTGAAAAGCATATGAGTTGTGTTATTCCCTGCTTCTTTGTAGTATATTGAACCCCTTCTATCTCATCCAAGCACTCCTGTGTAATTTATTTACGCTTATTTAACAACTGGTTTATCCAAAAAAAAAAAAAAACCCCTTCTATCTTCATCTTCTCCCTTCTCTGTGTTGAAAGTTAATGTGTTCTTCATAGTACTTCCTTCAGTTGTTATTGTAAGGGATTTTGATTTTTCATAAATTTCATTTAGTATGTTATTCTAATTGAAATAAAAACCTTAACATTATATTTTAACATTTATTGTGTTCTTTGAATTATTATAAAATCTTTTTAAGGTTTTATTTTCAATTGGAGAAATATATTAACTTAAATTTAGGACAAACAAATCAAAATAGCTTGTAAGAGCATCTCCAACGAACACACCAAAACACTAAATTTGGTGTTTTCGTGTAAAATTTACACTCCAACGAAGACACTAAATTAGTGCACTATTTTAGTACAGATAATAGAGTTACACCAAATATGGTGTAAATTGTCAACTAAATTATCTTTTGTGCATTATATTTTATTTTGATCTAATTACATATTTGCTATATAGTTAAATTTATAAAATAAATTATGTTGTAAAAATTATATCAAATTAAATATTTTCTTGAGATCTAAATAATAAGACTCATGTTGAATATAAAAATTTATTTTTAATATATTACTTATTTTTAGTCATTATTAAAATTGAATATGTAAAACAATAGAAAAACTTCATATTTTTAGAATCAAATAAACAGCGATTTAATATTAAATTATACTAAATTCTAAGATTTTAATCAACCACTAAAATAAAATTTAAACTAAAAACATTTAACATTTAGACTTTTAGTGCTTTAAGGTTAGAGTGCAAAGAATTTTGATGTGCAAAGATACTTGCAATATTCTATTTCTACATCAAATTTAGTTAAATTATAATGCAATGGTTGGAGATACTCTAAAGGATCGGAGGGAGTATATTTTGAGGAATTTCAAATACTAACCAAATAAATATATTTAATACAATCGGATTTAACTAAAGTTTTAGGAGGCGTTTGTTTTGTCAGCTGGAAACGGATTTGAATAATGACGGAATAGATTCGAATAATCAGGGATTCACGAATCACATAGTGCCCTTTGGTTGAACATAAGATTGGAAAAGAAAATTTTAAAAAAAATTATTTTTACTATTATTATCAAAATAAGAAAAATTAAAGACCCTTTTCCCCGTCCACTGTCTGCTCCTCTTCTTCACCTGAACAATACCTCCCCACCACCACTGCCCAACAAGAACCACCACCACTTATAATGACACACATCTTCACCACCACTGCAAAAATCTCCTTTATTTTAAATTCAATCAGATCCATGGATCAAACATTAAACCATTAGCTCCTTTCAGTTACTATTAACGGACCCAAATAAACTGATTGAAAAAGGAGCTTTTAGATCTGAAGACACTAAAAATGGTGGACGATAAAAATTTCTACCGCCGGCACCGGCATTGATCAAATCACCCAACTCCAAGTCGAAATTTCATATATGTGGACTTTCATATTAATCTATCATGAAATTTATGCAGCCAAAGATAAACAAAAAAAAGGGAGAAAGTGAAAGGAAAGAGAAGAAGTTGCAGAAGGAAATGAAGGACTGATAGGAGAGAGAGAGAGAGAGAGAGAGAGAGAAAAGGAAGAAGAAAAGAAGACGTAGGACGTTGCAGAAGGGGAGAGAAGACGGATAGGAGAGAGAGAGAGGCAAGGAGGAAGAAAGAGAAAATATTATAATAATGTTTTTATTTGAGAAAAAAAAAGATGAAAGGATTCAAATTGAATCAAGGGGTAAAGGCAAAGATTCAGTCTTTCGGATTTAGCCATTCCCGAGATTCGTGAATACCATCAACCAAACATTTCATTCAATTCCGAATCCAAATCCCAAATCCGATTCCCAGCAAACAAACGGCTCCTTAGTAAATTACGTTTCTTTAGGCGCACCGATCTAAGAGGGCCAGGGTTTGAGGCTACAAATACTACAGCTTTTTTGAGGGCTAGGGTTACAGACCACGACTTCGAATCTCAATCACAGTTCTGAATATTTCTGCAATTTCCTATCATGGCTTCTACTAACAATAATTATGAGGTATAAGCAAAAACATTACGTCCTTGATTGAATTTCTTGTAGTTTCTGTCGTATTTGTACACTTTTTAGGAAGCTCTTAATTAATTTGTTTCAATTGTGTTCATAAAAAAAAAAAAAATTGTCCTTTACGTCTGCTGATCAATAGTTTTATTACAAGGTCCTGATTAGGGTTTTATGCAAGTCGTGTAATTAATATTTTCATCATATTTTCTTTTGATATTACAATCTCCATATATAATATAATCCTAATGGCATGGAATGGTTTGTGTGTTGACTTTCTGCAGAACACAATATGTTCAATTTGTTACTCATCAATGAATTATGGCAAAGCTGCCAAATTCACGGCTGAATGTAAGCAAACATTTCACTACGATTGTGTCGCTTCCTGTGGATACCAATCTTGTCCCGTTTGCCATTGAAGATGGAATCAAAGCCCCTTCCCCATGCGCTGGAATCCTCCAACATGGCCCCACCAAAACAACATTTTTCCTCGTCCTTATGAGTTGTTCAATGATGACGAGCCTTTGGATCATCATCATCATCATCAATCTCCCTCTCCTGATTAGAATCAGGCAAACTCCTCCTCCTCCTCAACCATGATGCAAGTGAAAACTTACACGGAAGTTCCAGCGGTTTCGCGGTCGAGTTCTCCTGATAACTTCACAGTACTGATAAAGCTCAAAGCTCCTGATTCAAGCGAAGAATCATCGTCATCTCGAGTACCTGTTGACCTGGTTACGGTTCCGGATATCAGTTTTAGCATGGAAGGCACCAAGCTGGCATTGTTAAAGCGGGCTATGGGTTTTGTCATCGAAAACCTTGGTTCTAACGACAGGCTTTCCGTGGTTGTCTTTACTGAAAAAGCTCTTCGTGTGTTTCCACTTAGTAGGATGTCTGAATCGGGAAAGCAGTTGGCCCTGAAAGAGTTTAACCGGTTAAAGGTTGAATCTTGTACGAACATTTCCGAAGGGCTGCGTTTGGGAGCCATGGTGATGGAAGGCCGGAGATACAAGAACCCCGTTTCCAGTGTCATGTTCTTATCCGACGGACAAGATACGCATGGATACAGTAACATTGATATGAAGGGGAACTCGTTGCCGAGGAGTCACCTGAGTTGGGTTCAGATTGATTACAAGCCTCTTGTTCCGCCTTCCATTATAAACGAAAAGATTCTGGTTTTTACATTCGGGTTTGGATCAGATCACAACGTTTCGTTGATGCATTCGGTTTCGGAGATGTCTAGAGGAACCTTTTCGTTCATCGAGACGGAAAGCGTGATCCAGGACGCGTTTGCTCAGTGCATTGGTGGACTTTTGAGTGTTGCGGTGAAGGAGCTTCAGGTGAACATTGAGTGCGTTGATCCTAGAGTTGGACTTAGGTCATTGAAATCCGGAAGTTACCCAAATCAAATCACTCCAGATGGACGGATGGGGAATATTGATGCCGGAGACTTGTATGCTGAAGAGGAGCGGGATTTCCTGGTTATAGTTACGGTTCCAGCTGAAACTGAATCTTCAACTACTGCATTGTTGAAGGTGAGATGTGTTTACAACAATCCTTTGACCAAAGAATTGGTGACGGTAAGAAGCGAAGAAGTTAAGATCAGGAGACCTGATCAAGTAGTTGGGCAACAAGATCCATGTGTTGAAGTGATGAGGCGACAGAACAGGCTGCAGGTAGCAGAGGCGCTGGCGCTAGATGCAGCTGAGAAAGGAAACCTGTCTAATGCGGCAACCATCCTTGGGAATTGCCGGAAGAAGCTGTCAGAGAGTGCATCGGCCAAGTGATATGAATCTTGAGGCAAAGGTGGCAGATTTACCTCGACGCGGAAGCTATGAATTTTCCCAGGACTTGAATACTTGCAAATCCAATATTATGGACTCCAATACTCACGAAAAATAAAAGAAAAGAAGAGATGCAAACCACAAAAATTTGCACCAAAAAGGGATGGAAAGGTTTAGAAGATGTAGAAAGTGTTTAAGGCTAGCAACCCAATCGGTCACCTCTCTAACAACCCTATCCCTTCGATTTACGGATAGAACGGCTAGCGAAAAGGCTCCAATGAACAACTAATAAAGCTCCACAAGTAGAAAAACACATATTCTACTCGCATGCATTAACAAAGCACAAGCTTGTGTGCAATACACTAATCTTCGAAAAGAGTAGAAAAAGAACAAAGAGTTTCCTCTCGTCTCATATTGAAATAATTCATCAAAAATACAAATGAAATGGTGGCGAAACACCCCTATTTATAGTAAAGGGGGACGAAATTCTCCTATGAAGTAGGAGAAGAGTTTGATCTCTAACTCTATTCCTACTTTAAAGAACTAAAAATCAACTTAACCTCTAATTGACAACTTGTGTCTTATCTCTTAAGGCAATGTATCTAGGCACCTTTATAGACTTGAGACACACTAGTCTATTGAAAATAAAACTCCAATTACAAAGAGATATTCTCTCAAAAGAATCTTATCCTTATTTTGAAAAGAATCTTCTTGAGTTGTCAACTCAATCAATATCTTCTTTGTAGAGTAATCATGGCCATCCAATCTTGATCTAATCTCTATCCAACGGTTGAGAGTAGATACCAAGGAATAGACTTCTTATTTCGAATAAACTCTAAATTAGATAAAAGAGAATCATATCAAATCTTATCCTTCCATGTGATAAGATTTAAATGATCTTATCCACTACCAAAAAAAATGCTTTGGTGACAGACAAATTCTGGTCACTAAATTAGACTTTGGTGACCAAGTCCAGTCACTAAAGGTCTTTGGTGACCAAACAGTGACCAACTTTATGTAGGTCGACTAAGTCTCGTCTCTAAAGGCCTTAGGTGACCAACTCCTGAGAGTGTGTGACCATGGGATTAGTTGGTCACCGATTTCTTTGGTCACCAAAATTTTGATGGGCAGCCTGGGCAGCAAATTTTGGTGACCAACGCGCTGACGAAATAATTGGCACCAATTTTGAATATTAAGAAATGAAGGGTGACCGGAGAGTTGGTCACCAATAAACAAAAATAAAAATATATATATATACTTGGTAACTAAGTAGTTGACAAAAATTATAATCACTATTTTGAAATTTTGTGGCTGATGTCATAATAATAGAATTCAATATAAATTTACACAATTTCATTAAAAGCAACCACCATGCTCCAATCCACAAGACTATATATCTATTACAAATATCAAGTCCAAGCCATGTATCCAAACACAATCTAATTAAAAGATATAAAAATCTAATAATGTCATAGCCGAAGTACTTTTTCCGAATGAGATTGCATCCAACACTGTTTTTGCATGCCAAACTAGGAGAACCACCCTTGTGTACCTGAAAGATCAAAATTTAATTATAAGAGTTATTTTTGTTTATATCAGCTTGCCAAGAGAGTTGTAATTACCATTGTACTTTTTTTTTTAGTAACTGTTATAGAGAAGGTATTCTTACATTGAGAGATTGGCAAAGCTATATTATTCAACAGTGGAACATCTTCAAGAAAAACGGAAAAAAAAAGGAAAAACAAAGCTCCTAAAATTAACCACAAATAGAAGTAATATTGCATTAATATGTTTATGGGCTGAAGTAAAGAACAAGTTCATCAACATCAACACCATTATAATCCTGAGAAAGTAACAAATTGCTACTCGAAAAAAGAATAAAAATACGGATTATGAACAAGTATAGACAAGTTTGAATCTGTTTCAGCATTTTCATAATTCATTTAGGGCCGAACTTTGATATGGATTAGAAACGGAACAAAGTTTTCACAAAAAATCATAGAACCATGTAGATTCAGAGATCAACTCAAAAGTCCATAGCACATGACTAATCAAATTTCAAGCGTAAACTAGCCACTTAAATTTCCAGAATCTATTTCAAATCATAAAAAGAGTTATAGACATTGCTAAAGTATGTGTCTTATTTGCTCAAAACAAATTCAAAATTCAAAACTAGTATTCATCTTACTGAACTTAGGCAAAATCTTTTTCTTTATTTTGTATGATTAAAGTCAAACTTCTGCATAAAAGGAAGAAAGACTTACCATGCTTCACTTTCATATGCATCCATGAGTCCAAAACTTTGCATTTTCCTCTTCCTCTTCCATCCACAGTGAAAAGCATCAAAAACAAAAGCACATAGATGTTATGTGTATATTTTTTATAATAGACTGTTAGAGAAGTATGATGCTATATTGTTTACCTTGATGCCACTACATATCCCTTGTTGGCTTTTCTATTTGAGAAAGAACCCCTACAGCCTAAGGAATCTTTCATGGAAGAAGATGGTGAGAAATTAAAACATGATTTCATGGTTATAGCTTAGAATAGGAGAATGAGTACATTTTGAAACGAGTATGATCATTTAAGATAACACAACATTAAGTTAAAGATAGAAACTAAATTATAATTTTCAATACTAATAGACAACTAATTCTGAATACATATATAAAGTTCCAACAATTTTTTGACAACATAGAAAAAAAAAAGGAAGTTACAGCAATTTGAAGACAACTAATTCCTATAAAACCTCTCATATGTTTCAAAAAGCAGAACTTCAAACACTTGTAAGTCTAAGTCCCCATAAGAACACAATCCAAGTCTAAGAATCATTTTTAAATGAAACCCATCCATGATCCATCGATGGTTCTAGAGATGCAAACTAGAGAAATCAAAGTTCATAAATTACTCATCCATAATTTATATGATTTGAAACTTTTTAATTACTTCGATAAGCATCAAGTGAAGTTCATAATGTTTTAGGGAGCAAGAATGAACACAATTACAAGACTTGAAATATTTCAGAACAATGTTGTCGAAACACAGAAAGTCACACCGTGTCATTACGATTAGCTAACAAGTACCTCAAAGATACTAATTTGAGGGCATGCTTGCAAACTCCTCATCCATTCCAGATTTTGGGAAACATCTACCACATCTCCTGGTCAAAAACTCTGCATATATGCATAATCGAGGAGTGTTCAGGTCAAAAATTACTAACAACTACTGGAAGAAAAGAAACTAATAGGATAAAAAGAAAAAACCAATTATCATTGTTTCGCTAGACAAATATTGGAGTAACAAAGACCAAAATGTAAATCACACAGAAAACGAGCATAAAGTAACTGTGATTGTGCACTCGGGGGAGAGCAAGCAAGAGAACTCTGCAATACAAAAGTTTTCTTTCGTTTTCTAGTGCTGCTGCTCAAGTTGGTTTAGCTCACTTGGTTTCGAATCCAGCATGCATGTGAACAATGAAACAGAAACTAGTGTATTTTCTCAGAGCCTTAACCATAAAATAGGACCAAAAAAACTCTGTAATTAAGCTGATAACGAGTGCAATACTACAACAAACAGGGCAATTTCTATAGTTTTCAGTTATGCCAAAACCATAGAGGTGAAAAACAAGGAGAGGCAGTGGGACAAAAGGCAAGGAAACCTAACAACAAGGAAGCAAAGACAACCACCCACTAAAAAGAATTTGAATACTTTAAATTCATCAAAAAAAAAAAAAAAAACAAAAAATGGAAGCAGGGTAGCCGGCAATCTGATGTGAGCATTTGTTCAAGAATCTTAACACAGAGCAAATGTTACATTTCCGACAAAGGGCAAATAAATTTAGATCTTACAGAACATTAGATAGGCAAACCTGAACTTCAGCTTTAATCTTTTCTATTGTGGAGTCAGTTCTACCTCCAAGACTAACTTCAATGATAGCAACATTTACCAAGAAAACACACAAAATTCTCAAATCAGCTCAAAAGTAAAGAAACTAACGAGTAATAGGATTTATGTGGTGCAAAAATTGGAGCACTCATAGGACAAAAACTGAAACCCATTTTTTCCTAGTGACATAAAGGTGGGTAAAAGTCTGATTCCTAGACTGTTATTAAGATAGCTACACTCAAAACAAAAGGAATCGACGAACTCCTCTTGATGATAAACCCATCCAATGATCTTTTTCAGTGACACAATTCATCCACTTAAGGAATTACAAGCACTCAAAATAAGGCAATAAATCCAAATTAGGACTCACAGAGCTGATTTGTTGATGTGAAAAGAAAGGCCGCATAGCTTGAAGAATCTTGGCTTCAAAAGTCTTCCCTATAGCATCAGCTCGGGACTCTTTTAACAATCCATTCACTTTTTGTTGCTTTCTCCTCTGGCTTCACATGAATAAGAAAACATATTGTTAGTTGCACCTTCAATTGAACAATAAAACACTCACTTCGATATGAACCTTAACATAAAGCTAATATCATTGTTAAAAACAGAGCTTCAAGTGGGCATACAGGTGTATTTAACTAAGTCTTAACTAAAATATAGAATGTAATTATTTCTTGTAGTTAAATCTTCATTAATACTCCAGCTAATCTATTATCTCCATCCCACAAAAGCAGTGAAAATAGATAAATAAAGCTGTGTTAATAGGAATCCATTTTGAACAAGATGGATTCCATTCTTTGCAGCCAGCGGATAAACAAAAGGAAGAAAGACACCAATCCTTCATGTTAAAATAAAACTACCTTCCGAAAGAATAGAAGAGCATACACCAATCCCATTCCAAAATTACTGCAAAAAAAAATTGCAAACCCGAATTAATACTGTTGTTCCAAAAAAAAATACCACTGACCCATCAGTGAGCTTCCCTCAAGCTAACAGATTACTCAACTGACCATTTAATCCCCTCTTCCACATCCCTGCAGAATCAAGAGCAAAACAAAAGAAAAAAATACAAATTAAATAAGAAGGCTGACTACAAAAACATCCAAAAAAAAAAAAAA